ATTTCATGTTTTGACATTTCGATTGGGGATACGCCACACTTTCACAAGTGCTTAACATCCACAGTCATATGGTTTAGTGGAATGACTTATTTGGACATTCAAAAGAATGATTGCGAAGTATATAAACTTTTAGTATTCTAATTGGGATAGTTATTTGCCGTCTTTTTGGTATGCATATGTTACAAAGGTGTAGAGTTTTGTTAATGTTACACCATATAAACTCTTATATGGTCATAATCCAATAATACCAATAGAGCTGGGTTTACTTTCATGATTGTCACAAACTACTGATGCTAGGTCATGGGATCAGTATTTAGCAAGCATTCTTCCACTGGTCCAAGTAGAGTTTGTCAAACACTTATGCCGCATACAAGTGGAACAACAACAGTGCTACAACTCCCATCATCGTCCACCTGCAGAGTACAAAGTGGTTATGATGTTAATCCATTTTCCCCATCTTACGGTACATGGTTTACCTAAGGGGCTTTTTGCTCAGTGGAAAGGACCATATCAGGTGTTATGGCAAGTTAAATCACAAGTTTATGAGGTTCGACATGACATTCAGCAGGCCGATCCTCCAAAAATTGTGCATGTGCAACAATTGAAACACTTTATATAAAGGGTTCAGAAACAACTAATACCACCTACAGATCCACCAATGCTTCCTCCTGATGTTCTTCCAAATCCCAGCCCATCTACAAAAAAACCCTAATGGTCTTCCATTATCCTAAGAAGAGGGGATGATGTGAGGTCCAAGTGTACAGTTATGATGCCGTATACTAATATTAGTGTAATGGGATTTTGGTAGCCATCGAATTGGTTTTAATCTGAACCACTCACTCTTATATATAAGCTAGGGTTTTTGGGTTAATTGATATGCACATTTTCTATATTCCCTTTCCATATTCCATGCACTCATAGATGCTAATTGTTGCAAAAATATTATAAATGTTGTGGTTCAATATTAGTAAAGCATTGTCAATGGGTGACTCCAATCTTCATTACTGGTTCTGCAAAATTAGGGCTATTAGATGAGGAGTAAAGGTCAACTAATGTTTTTGTAATTAATTGTCACAGCAAACATTTGACAAATGATTTCTTCTGTTTTTTCTTTGATCTCATCATTATTATTTATTCTCATTTCTGAGAGAAAATAAATAATAATGATGAGATCAAAGAAAAAACAGAAAAAATCATTTGTCAAATGTTGACTTCAATCTTCATTAAAGGTGCACCTTGCTCATGGGCTATTAGATGAGGAGTAAAGGTCAACTAATGTTTTTGTAACTAATTATCACGGCAATTGACAATGCCTTTCTAATGTTAAACTACAACTCCAAATAAAGAACCACCTTTACATATATTGAAATTCTTGTCTTTCTCTCTCTTTTCTTTCTTCCAAAGCCTTGAACATCCTTTTGAGGCTAAATCTAGCAACATGATTGATTAGCTTTGATTCTTGTTGCAATCTCAATAGCAATACCAAGGGTACTAGTAGCTAACTCTAACATGAAACTACAATGTCACAATCCGGGTAGCAGCATAACAACATCTCTTCTGTAAGCTTGATCAGCAGCTGTGTAGACCTCAAGTCTCTACTTCTGGATGCAAGTTCAAAGAGGTCTAATATAAAACTCTGAGTCCTCCAGCAAGTCCCTAGAGAAGGAATGTGTGGAACTTTGACAAGACTTGGTTATGTAATCTCATGCTTCAAGTGACCTCCACATGAACAGCATGTCCCGCTTTTGTTTGTATCAGTGACGTGCCAGAGAAGCAAGTCTTTAGAGAGCTTGCTCATAGACTCACTACATGTGGTTTTTATGATGGCCCGAGGTCGTTCCCAGAAGCGCTACCGTTCCAGTAGCAAGCATGCGGCTCTTTTTTGCCCATCAAGTTGATGTCCCACCCCTTATGAACGCCTGTGAACCTTGTTCCATCCCAACCATTTGGATAACCTGTCCGCAGATCTGTTCAGCGCGTGATGATCAGCACCAGTTAACCGGATCCACATTTTTACCCATGATGAAACTTACTTTTGATCAATCTTGCAGTGAGGAGAAAAAGGACATGAGATCTTACTGGATATTTAGGGAGTTTTAGGGCAAGCAATTTCATGGACGCTTTGGAAGCCGGATTGAAGCAAGCGGTTGACGCCTACAGCAGAGGGCAGCCGGGGCCATTTGTCGTGGCCACAAACGTCCCATGGGGTGTGTACGACGCCTGTGACTCGAGTTGGAGGCTAGAGTACAGGAGGGGTGAGGTTTTGGCCTATGGGGATCCGTCAATAGTCCACACCACCGTGTCATCTGCGCTAGAGCGTTCCATCATCTTTCACATCATCCAGATCCCGGGCATTGGGCTAGCCTCTCTTACAAAAGTGATCACGGGCGCTGGAGCGTCTCGCCTCCGGACCATCACCGGCAACAAGGAGCCGGACGCTTGCTTCTTCTCCGGGTCGTCGCTTGCGCAGCCAGCGCGGGCGGTGTTGGAGGTGGCCTACAAGAACGAGCCACTAGAAGTTTTAAGGGAGGTTTTGGATCTGTGGGTGGAGTCGGGCTGCTTGGTGGCGATCGGGGTGAAGATTGCGCGGCCTGGTGACGAGTTTACGTTTGTAGCCAGGGAGAGCGGGAAGGATGCCATGGAGATCCAGTTTGGTCCCGAGTTTTGCAATGAGCAGAACCGAGAGCGCTTTGTGGTGAAGTTTCCAGTGTCGTCTTTCACTGCTCATGTGAAGGGTGACTACTACGTTGAGTTTGATCTGTTTTGGCTGCAGCAGTATATATTTCGTATGATCGAGCAAGAGCGTCAAGCTTCTGAGCAGATAGAGCAAGAGCGTGGAGCACTTGAGCTTGAGTCTCGAAATCTTTCTGCTGTAAATCTTTGCGAGCCATAGAATTTCAATCCAAAAAAAGATCGAGCTTTTATTCAGGCAAAAAAAAACTCTTAGCACATGAGAAAATGAAGAACAAACCAAACAGATCTAACTAGGAAAAGGAGCTTATCATTATCTAAGAGTATTGGAGTCCTGCTCGACCATTGTGGTGTGCTCCATGTCGCTGCAGTGACGGAGCTAGGCCGCAGGGACTCGTCCAAGAACATCGTGGAGATCATCGCCGATTTGCTCCAAACAAACGAGCGATTGGATTGGATCTATCGGACGAGGATGGGGCCGCGATACTCAAGAACCCTAAAATTTCGTCGTTTAATGGCAGGGTCCACGCGACCGAGCGAGGGCGTATATTCTGGAGAATTCTCGTATAAGTAGTCGCCGGCGCTGCTTGCGCGGATCCCAATGGCGTCTACTGTCGGGAGAGCAATTCAATGCAGAGGTATGCTTCGCTTGACTTTGTTTTGGCTGTCGATCGTGATGTTCTTCTTTCTCTCCAGCTGCTGTTCTCCACAGCGCTGGATCGGAGTTTGAGCTGGAGACGATCAATGTGGAGCCGCCAAAATCTGGAGAGATTCGCATGCAAGTCCTTTACTCGTCGCTGTGTCACACGGACATCACCATCGCAGACTGGGTAAGTTTGTGCTCAAACTCTTCCAATCTCTTTGCTCCGTGCTCATCCTTTTGTTTCGCAGGGCACGCTCAAGTATCCGGTGATCCTTGGGCACGAGGGATCTGGGTAAAGAGTGAATTTCTCTTCTGCCATATTCCCCCTTCTGAGGAGTGTGTTTCTTACTCTTGTTTTTTTTTCCTGTGATCTTCTCAATCCAACCAGAGTTGTGGAGAGCGTTGGCGAGGGAGTGACGGAGTTTGCTCCCGGCGACCGTGTCATTTGCGTCTACCAAGGGGAATGCGGGAAATGCAAGCTCTGCAAGCTCTCCACCACGAACCACTGCGAGGTCAGCTTCGGGAACTTGTTCACGCCTTTCATGCCTCTCGATGGCACGGCACGGTTCTCTTCGCTTGACGGCAGTGTCATTCACCACTTCGTGAACACGTCCACCTTCACGGAGTACACGGTGCTAGACAAGACCTCGGTTGTCAAAGTTGATCCGGTTCCACTGGAGAGCGCTTGTCTTCTGGGCTGTGGAGTTCCCACCGGTACGTTCCTCCTTGTTTGCGCATTCCTTTGCTGATAAGCTCTTTGTTTCCAGGCTTGGGATCCGCATTAAACTTGGCAAGCGTCCAAGCCGGCTCCACGGTTGCTGTAATTGGACTGGGAACCGTCGGGCTAGCAGTACGTACTCTGTAGCTTTTCCTAAAGTTCTGGAAGAGAAACCATTTGCTTTTCAGGCTGTCGAGGGCGCTCGAATCGCCGGTGCAACTCGGATAATTGGGATCGATATCTTAGCTCGAAAATTCGAGGCGGGTAAGAACTCGTCAAGTATTCGAAAGTGCTGAGCGTTTTTTCCGCAGCCAGAGCATTTGGTGCGACCGAGTGTCTAAATCCACAGGACCACGAAGCGCCGCTTCATGAGGTTGTGTGTTCTAACTCTCGTCTTTATCACCCGAGCTCTAATGTTTCTCTCACTCTCTCTCAGGTGCTTCTCGAGCTCACGAATGGAGGAGTCGACTACTGCTTTGAATGCGTCGGCAAGCCTCATCTGTTGGTACAAGCTTTGCTAAGCACCACAGGCGTGAGTGAAAAGCTCTGCTAGTTTCCAGCAGTGTGCTTGCTAACTATTACCTCCTGGATTGTTTAGTATGGAACAACGGTCATGGTTGGAGCTCCCAGGCCCGATGAGATGGTGACATTCCCACCCGTGATTCTCCTCTCGGGTCGCCAACTCAAGTCGGGATACTTCGGTGGATTCAGGGGCAAATCCGACATGCGGAAGCTCGTGGATATGTGCTCCACAAAGGTTTGTTTGGATTGATCAAGCTGGAAGAGTTCTAAGTTTTCGTGGGTCGTCCAGGAAATCAATCTCGACGGATACATCACTCACAGGCTACCATTCTCAGAAGTAAACGAAGGAGTGAAGCTTCTCTCGTCCGGCTCTTGTATCAAGTGTGTGTTCTCCATGGACGGCTGACGTGGCTGCCAGCAAAGCTTCCATGTTGTTAGTCGCGCGCCACGTATTTCCACGTTGGCAGACCAATAATTCTTCTCTCTTTCTCTTTTGTAAAACCCTTGCAAATGATTTGACGGCGCTCGCTCGCAATCAGGTCAGGGCGCTACCATCGATCCAGCTCGCGCAGCATCAATCCAGCTGGCGGCATCGATCGGGACGATTGCAAGAGGTGCGTATGTAGTGGAATCGCGATCAGGTCGATCGCTTCGCTTCCCGGTGCTAGTTTAGGCTAGGTTTTACAGGCGAGGATGATGAGCATCTTGAGATCGAGAGCGAGCTTGAAGAGCGCGGGCAGGATAATCTGGGACCGAGGGGCCGTGCAATGCTTTCAGCATTGTAACCGGCATTTTGATGCTCATGGCGGATTATTCTCTGGACTGCCTGCTCGATCGTCACGTCTGGTGCGCCTTTCGTTTCTCTTGTTTCATCATCTTACTTTGCTGAGCAGTTTTGACAGGCCGGAGAAATAAGGCGAGATGGATGCCGAATTTCTTGTGCTCCAGCCGCAAGCCAAGCTTTCGTCGCTACTTACGCGACTGAGATCGAGAAGAAAACCGACGCTTCCACGCAAAGCACGAAAGCTGCTGCTACTCCGGCCACTGCTAATGTTCTCGTGGAAGAGAATGCTGCTGATATAAAGATCTTGCGATCGCTCACTGCTTACATCTGGCCATCTGGGAACTTAGAGTTTCGCAGGAGAGTCGTCGTCTCGCTGGCTCTTTTAATTGGTGGCAAGGCAAGTATCATTTTTCGTTCTTCCTATGTAACCTCTCATCTTCTTTTGCTTGTATGCGTATGTGCAGGTTCTGAACGTACAAGTTCCATTTCTGTTCAAGCATGCGGTGGATGGTTTGGCTGCTGCAACGGGAGTGTCACAAGAAGTGACTCTGGCTTCTGCGGCTTATGCTGCTCCAGTCTCTGTGCTTATCGGTTATGGTCTTGCTCGAGCAGGAGCATCTGCATGTAACGGTAAGTACTCAAAGTTTCGCTGAATGCTGTGACACTGATGTATTGAAATTTCTTTGGTGCAGAGCTTCGTAATACAGTCTTTGCTAAAGTTGCTCAGGGAGCTATACGGAATGTGTCTCGCCAGGCATGTCTTCCATTGTCAATGTAGCTAATTGTTGAGTTTATGTTGTCTACAGGTGTTCCTTCATCTTCACAACCTGGACCTTAACTTCCACCTAAGCCGACAGACTGGAGCGTTAAATCGAATTATTGATCGAGGCACGAGAGCCATAAATTTCATCCTCTCATCGATGGTGTTCAACGTGGTGCCCACTTTTCTGGAGGTACGTTTCATTGTGAAAACGATGTTCTAGCTCAGCACCCGCTGTCAGATTTCAATGGTTGCAGGCATTCTGGCTTACAAATTTGGAAGCTCGTTTGCAATCGTGACTACTGTTACCGTTGGAGCCTATACGGCATTTACACTGATTGTGACACAGGTATTGCCGAATTCAGCGATTTGGACGTACTTCTAATGCTTTCAAATGCTAGTGGCGAACAAAATTCAGAAAAGAAATGAATAAGGCCGAGAATGCTGCTGGTACCCGAGCGATTGATTCGTTGATTAACTATGAGGTATGCAAGCTCGATTTGACGGATCTGCTGACCAGTTATGTTCACATGCTAGACTGTGAAATACTTCAACAATGAGAAGCATGAAGTGGATAAATACGATGAGCATATACAGAGTACGTCGAGTTTTTCTTTTTGGGTATGGTTTTAAGATTTCTTATATGCAGAATACGAGCATGCTGCATTGAAGACTCAAAGCAGCTTGGCTGCTCTAAACTTCGGCCAGAATGTGATCTTCAGCGCCGCATTATCTGCAGCAATGATCATGTGCATTGACGGGATTTTGAAAGGATCAATAACCATTGGGGATCTTGTAAGTACAATCGTTTTCCGTTTTCTGGTGTTATGCTTGGTTTTTTATTTTGTCATCCTTTCTTTTTGTGCAGGTTATGGTCAATGGTTTGCTCTTTCAGTTGTCTCTGCCCCTTAATTTTCTGGGTACTGTCTATCGTGAAACGCGACAGAGCCTTATAGACATGCATGAAATGTTTAAACTTCTTGAGGTAAATGGTTCCGTGGATATTTCTTAGCTTGATATTGATCGATATATTCAGGTAAAGCCGGACATTGCTGATAATCCCAATGCGAAACCATTGGCATCACACCAAAGAAGCATAAAGTTCGATAATGTTCACTTCGGGTAAGACCATTTTGGGAATTACTGCCAGTCTCTAAGTAGCGCGTTCGTTGCAGATATGGACCAGACAGACAGATTTTGAACGGATTGTCTTTCGAAGTTCCCGGAGGAAAGAGTCTTGCTATTGTCGGGTCTAGTGGAAGCGGTAAGCTACGTTTATGCTGTGTCTGTGTTAACCGACAAGTACAGGGAAGTCGACCATTTTGAGAGTTCTTTATAGGTTTTACGACTGCAACTCTGGAACGGTAAGCTTGTTTGCTGGAAAGTGAACGTAGTGCTCAAGGATCTGGATTATAGGTGAAGATTGGCGATCAGGATATCAAAGATGTGACGCTGGAAAGCCTGCGATCTTCTATTGGAGTAGTACCGCAAGACACGGTGAACTGTTCCCTAACTAATTTGCATTTCACTTATGGATTTGGCATTGTACCTCAGGTTCTTTTCAATGATACTATCTTCTACAACATTCAGTATGGTCGGCTATCAGCAACTGAGGAAGAGGTAAGCCCTTCCTTTGTCTGTGCGGTACATACCTTAACTTGACGAACAGGTATATGAAGCCGCTAAACAAGCTGCCATTCATGAGTCAATTCTCAAGTTCCCAAAGCAATATGAAACCATGGTTGGCGAGAGGGGGCTGAAGGTATTCAAAGCTCTTTACTTCCGTCAATTTACGCGTCTCTCTCTTTGCAGCTGAGTGGAGGAGAGAAGCAAAGAGTAGCGTTGGCAAGAGCATTCCTCAAATCCGCGCCAATCTTGTAAGCCAGTTGTGTTGTTCCTGTGATCGTTTCATGACGCGTTTATTTTATTAGGTTGTGTGATGAAGCAACGAGCTCTCTGGATTCCACAACCGAGGCAGAAATTCTATCGTCTCTCAAGTCGCTCGCGGCTGACAGGACTGCCATATTCATCGCTCACCGCCTCACTACAGCAATGAACTGCGACGAGGTAGATGTTTATCTTCTGCTTAGAAGCCTTGCAAGAGCTTCACACTTTGTGTGATCAGATTATTGTCCTGGAGAGTGGCAAGGTGGTGGAGCGAGGATCACACGAGACACTAGTGAGTAACAATGGGCGGTATGCTCAGCTCTGGAGCCAACAGAACAGTTTGGAAGCGCAGGACGAAAGCGAGCTGGAGCACATCAATAGTAGCTGAGTAAGTTTTGTAGCCATGGTTTTTTTGAGCGAAAGATCGGAGCTGGAAGGTTAGCGTTCGCCTAACTGAGAACGAAGAAGCTCATTAGATGTTCTTACTTCGTTTGACTAAAGACATTTGGATGTTCTCTTCTTTGACAACTCCCAACCAGATTTCTTTCGGTGGTCTTCGGGTTTGAAGCCCGCATTCACAGGATAACTCATTCATTATCAAGTCATCCACACCAGCTACTCTGCGTGAAGCATCTGCTCGAATGCCGGAAAGAAAGCAGGCTCCAGGGAAACCGAGAGCTCCAAACCTTCGTTGTTGCTGCTGAACGGGAAGAAGATGATGGACTTGTTCCCCGGATGCATGGGATACTCGACTCGACACGGCTTGCCCCATCCAAAGTCCAGTTGGGTGGAGTTACTCATGGCCCTTGGCCAGGCGTTTATCACCGTGTCACAGTCTGGGTGGTACCAGTAGTCCGGATGCAGCTCCAGAAAGTCGAGCCCCGATCTCACGTACTCCTCGGTTACGCTCTTCTTGGCTTGCTGGATTCTCATTGCCGTGACGCCCAACGGTTCAGTACGCAGCTCCTCCGTACTTGCTTGCATCATGACCACGTAGACCGCATTACCAAAGAAACCACGGCTTAATGGAGGCTGGATAATGCTCCTCGTGTCCACCAGGAACCTCATTCTTGCAACTTCCTTCTTGGGTAGTGCTGCAACATTGGCTTTCCATACTTGAGCAGCCAACGCCTCAAAAGTTGAACAGTTGGAGACGTCCGTGAGAGCTGCTTGCTTGATTTGAGCGAGCCTGGAACGAGACAAGTGGTACTTCTTCCGCTGCTTGACGCTTCCTTTGGCCACGCTTCTCCTGAGGGACTCGGCCTTGAGCACTGACTCGGATGTCACTGTGTAGCGGCTGTCCTTCTCTTGCTTGCCAAACTCGTGGTGCTGGAAACTTGGCATGGGGTGGTCGCTTGCCTTCATCTGTGTCCGGTCAAACTCGGGAACTAGCCAAAGCTCCTCACCACGGCATTGGCCTGCAAAATTCATGAGGAAGCAAATTGCCGATGTTGCCTCTCCCAAGGTGTGATGTTGCAGCATGGAGATGGCATATCCATTGTTCATTTCGGTGACCTGCAAATTCATAGTTTAGCTCTGTCAACATCATGCCCGTTGAGACAGTACGAGTTCACCCCCATTACCTGAATGTTCATCAGAGGAAGGTCCTCAAACGACTCCATATTGTTGGAAGGCTCGAGAAAAAAGTCATCAAAATCTGCTGCAGTCACCTCAGAGATGGACAACTTGCAGCTCCCCACACCCAAACGTGCACCCTGGTTGTTGCAATCGATCTCAAGCTTATCACTTGAATTCATCCTTAACCTCCCTGCACAACAAGGGTAGGCAGCCAACACCTTGCTCAATCCTTTCCTCAAGATCTCTTTGAGAACTTGAAGCCCAGGATTCGGCGTGAAGAAAAAGAGAGATCTCACAAAGTAACCAAACTTCTGGTCTATGTTGGTGAGGAACAAGACGTGCCTGCTGTACTCATCCTCTATGAACACATCGATACTCTCAATTAGGAGAACCTTGCGTGTACCTTGGACAGGCACCATTCTATCCATTCTATCGCGATGAAAGCAATACTAGCAGTGGGACGAGGGATTTCCACGAGCAATCGCCGCCAGCGCAGTGTTTAAGTTTTACTGCAAAATGGTTGTCAAAAATGCAGTTATGCATTTTGAACTCCCAATTTGGCAATAAAAAATCCACATGTTGACATCAAATGGATGTGCGTGTCCACATACAAACGCACATATAAATAGATAGATAGATAGATAGATAAATAAATATTTACACTTGTGAAGTTTGTGTGTGGACACGCACATCCATCTGACGCACCACAACAAGTTTAAAAACAAGCAGCCAGCTGGAAATACAGAGCTGCATGAGTAAATGTGCGCCTGGATCGAGTTTCACATTACTACGATCTATAGCTGTAGTATATCGGCTTCTGGAAGCACAGAAACCTCAACAATGAGAGGGATCCCAGTTGGTGTTCTTGTAAAAGGCCATACTCCCGAGCAGCGTTCTCCTCATCTGTTTCGAATTCCTCATGTCTTCGTTCCTTTCGACAGCAGCTGCGCTGCATTGTCAATGCTGCTCGAAGGCATTCAGAGCCAAAAGGCAGACATTGAGCATGCACTGCACCAGAGTGGAGCTGTCCTTCTTCGTGGATTCGAAGTACTCACTGCCTCAGATTTCAACGATGTACTTGAAGCCTTCGGGTACGATAACTTCGTCTACAATGGTCGTGGGGCACAGAGGAAAGCCATCACTGGAAGGGTTGTCACGGCTAACGAGAAGCCTGTGCATCTTCCTATAGGTTTCCACAACGAGATGGCATACGTGAGTGTTGCTTTCCACCTTGGCAATTATCTATACTCATGCTTCGTTTGTCCTGCTTGTAGCAACTCAAGACACCAAGCAAGGTGATGTTTTATTGCGACATTGAGCCTCCTGAAGGTGCCGGAGGCGCCACACCCATCGTACATTGTATACCAAAGGCTCAAGAAAGAGATGCCAGAATTTCTGAACATGGTTGAGGATAAGGGGCTTACTTACATTAGGACTCTGTGCAACTATCCATCAGCAAAGGATAGCTGGCAAGAAATCTTGCAAGCATCTACCAAAGAGGAAGCGGAGAAGAAGTAAGTCTTCCTGGTTCGTAATTTGCTTTGATAACTTCACGGTCTCATTCGCTAAAGAAGGGAACAATCGCATTGAGTGGAATCAAAACGGCACAGCATCTCTTTTCATGGGACCAAGAATTGGAACAAAATTTTGCAAGTCAAAAGGAAGAAAAGTTTGGTTCAACAACATTGGTTCAACTTACGAGCTCATGCTCACCTCCCCACCTGGAGAACATGGAATAAGCTTTGGCGATGGCACTCCTTTGAATGAAAAGTTTCTCGCAGCTTGCAAGAGGATAATGGAAGAGGAAAAAGTTGCATTCAAATGGCGCAAAGGAGATGTGCTCGTCATCGACAACGATGCTGTTTTACATGGAAGGGAACCATCGAGACCACCACGAAAAATTCTTGCAGCATTAGCTGCCAACTAAAATAAGAGTAGTTTCGAGTGTTGACGTAGGAGCGTTGAAGTCTCACTCCTTTCGAACTCTATTCTTATTTACGCCGTTCGACTGACCGCCCCACGGCCCATCCCCACTATGAACGACCCGGTCCGAGTATAATCTATCTATCTGTGTTTATAGTTTTGTGGTGAATGCAATGCAATTGAGAGTTTTCACTCCACGGCCCAGGCTCCAGTCCATGCTCCACAGTCCTCGCTTATGGAACGTGGCTTTTTCTCATGAAAAGGGCGGTAGGAGGATCATGAAGAACGCTGGCATATCTATACGACAGTCCTGCCAATGGCAATCCACCAGGACACGATTGTGGCGATTGGGAGATTCCAGGATACCGATGGTTCTGCAGCATCCATCTCAGGTTTGTTGGACTCCTTTTTTGTATAAAAAGATTCCTGGTTTCATTGTCTTTGTCCTACACGTATGATTCAATTCAATCGATCCACTTCCTACATAACTTTGTGTTCTAAGAGCCTTTCTAGCTTTGTCTGCTATACCTTACCAAAGTAGTTGGCACTTTCTACCGTGGCAGCACTTGATGTTTCGTTTACCAACCACCATATTTTTAACGTGTTTGTTTGCTTGCGCTCAGGTTCAGACCTTTCCAGCTCGTCTGCTGGTCAAGTCTACTTTAAACTGGGCCTAGCTGCTTTTGAGAATTCTTTATAGGTTTTACGACTGCAACGGATCTGGAACGGTAAGCTTGTTTATTGTGAAGTGAACGTAATAATGCTCAATTATCTCGATTACAGGTGAAGATAGGTGATCAGAATATCGAAGATGCTAGCCTCGGTCTTTTATTTGGTATTGGAGTAGTACTGCAAAAAAAGGTGAACTGTTCTCATACTAATCACTTGTAGATTTCTCATCGTTACCTCAGATTGTTTTCAATGATACCATCAACATTCGGTATGGTCGGCTATCAGCAACAGAGGAAGAGGTAAGCCCTTCCTTTGAACAGGTGTATGAAGCCGCGAAAAAAGCTGCCATTCATGGATCAAGTTTCTAAATCAATACGAAACCATGGGACTAAAGGTATTCAAAGCTCTTCACTTCCGTCTAGCTTTGCAGCTGAGTGGATAAGAGAAGCAAAGAGTAGCGCTGGCAAGAGCATTCCTCAAATCCGTCCGTGCCATTCTTGTAAGCCGGTTGTTTTGTTCCCTTGAGCGTTTCACAACGCGTTTCTTATCATCAGGTTGTGATGAAGCAACGAGATCGCTAGACTCTAAATTCTCTTATTCAGAAGAGTTTGGAGGCGCGGGACGAAAGTGATCTGGAGCAGATCAATAGTAGCTGTGCAAGGCTCGTAGCCATGGATTTTTGAGCGGGAGATGGGAGCTGTTCGCCTAACTAAGAACGAAGAAGCGCATTAGATGTTCTTTGAATATCCTTCTTTGACTAGTAGTCATAAGATGCTCTTTGAATATGCTTCTTTTGACTAGGATTGACTACGAACGGAGCCATCTCCTCGATCTTCTCCAGTCATGCCGCTCCATCCCGGCGGCCCACGAAATTCGCAGCCGGATCCAATCCACGCTCGGGGCTGCCGATGTCTTCGTGCAAAACAAGCTGATCGAGCTCTATGGCCGCGTTGGAAGCCCCCTCCACGCGCAGGAGGTGTTCAATGCCATCGCCCACAAGAACTCCCTCTCGTGGGTCATGCTTCTCAACGCTTACTGTCGCAACAGGCAGCTAGATCGAGCAAACCAGGTTTTTCGCGCGATGCCGCACAGAGATTTAATCTCGTGGACTTGTCTCCTTACTGCACTTGCCCAAAACGGGCATTTGATTAAAGCCCAACAAGTGTTTGATCAAATGCCTATAAGGGATTTGGTCTGCTGGAACTCAATGCTCGTTGCGTACGGAAGAAGCGGAAGAATAGAAGATGCCGTAAAGGTTTTCGAGGATATGCCCGAGAAAGATCTAATTACGTGGACTTCTGTACTTACTGCTTATGCCCATTTTGGGCATTTGGAAAAGTCACAGGATATCTTTGAGCGAATGCCCCAGAGAAATCTGTTCTCGTGGAATGCTATGTTAGCGCTCTACGGTGTTAAAGGTTTAATGGAGAAAGCAAATATATTGTTCCAGGAAATGCCCGAGTGGAATTCTGTGTCTTGGACGACGATGCTAGACGGATATTCGCAAAACGGGTATCTTGGAAGATCTAAACTCGTGTTTGATTCCATGCCGGAGCGGAATTTGATCTCATGGGGCTGCATGCTAGCTGCATATGCACATAACGGGCACTTAATGGACGCCAAGAGAGTATTTGACACCATGCCAGAGCACAACCTTGTCTGTTTTAATGCCATACTAACAGCATTTGCCCAAAATGGCCAACTTGCAAAAGCTAAGCACGTCTTTGATACAATCCCGGAGACAAATGTGGTAACGTGGAATGCGATGCTGACGGCATATTCGGACAATGGTCGAGTAGAACAAGCAAAAGTTATGTTTGATTCTATGCCGTACAGGAATCTCGTGTCATGGACATGCATGCTGGCCATGCACGCCCAGTACGGGCAGGTAACGGAGGCCAGACGGACATTTGACACGCTCCCCGAGAGAACCATCAACGTGACTGACGCTTTGCTAACGGTTTATGCGCACAACGGACGCATCGAGGACTCGAAGATTCTATTTGATGGAATGCCCCACTGGGACATGCTAGCATACTCGACAATGCTCTCGGCATTTGCCCAAAACGGGCATGTGGAGGATGCCAAGAATCTTTATGACTCAATGCCGGAGAAGCACTTGGTCTCAAAGACCTCGATGCTTGCGATGTATGCCCAACATGGGTCAATAAACGAGGCACAGTCCATGTTTGATAGTATGGCTTTTCAAGACATTGTGGCATGGAATTCTATGTTGGCAGCTTACACTCAGCACGGCTATGTGGATCAAGCCAAAACCATTTTTGATATAATGCCTGAGAGAGATGCGGTATCATGGAGCACAATGCTAGCAGCATATGCCCGTAAAGGGCATCTCCCCCAAGCAAAAAAGTTCTTTAGCACAATCCCAGAACCCAGCTTTGTCTCGTGGAATGCCTTGCTCACTGCCTACTACCAAAACTCCGTCCCATCTGGTGTCTTTGAAAGTTTTGACATGCTCAAGATGGTGGATGGCTCTCTCAGCGGGATTTGCTTCGTGCTGGTTTTGGTCGCTTGCAGCCATGGAGGCAAGCTGGTCGAGGCTGGCCAAAGATTCGTCTCCATGAGATTGGACTACGCGTTTGAGCCGGCCAAGCAACACTACGCTTGCATGGTTGACATGCTTGGGCGAGCTGGAAGGCTGGAAGATGCTCGAGAGCTTGTTCACGCAATGCCGTTTGTGGCCAATGGGTTCGAATGGGTGACTTTGCTGGGCTCTTGCAGAAGTAATGACGACTTCGAGCAGGGAGCTCGTGTTGCAAAAGCCATGATGGATGCCAATCCGGCATCTGGTGCAGCTTACATCCTCTTGGCCAACTTGTATGATTCAAGAGCACCTAACAAACTTGCCACAAGTCCTTGATCTTGTAGATTTTGATTTTTCAGGTCTGCCAACCAACACCACGTGTTGGAGTTACGATCTTAAGCTTCTTCGTAGATAATTTTCCATATCCATGCTATGTTGGGCGATTTTTCAAGCTGAAGTGGTTAATATTGGAATAAGATCACATTCAATCATATTTTTGGAATCTGATTTCTAACACCCACGTGATAATTCATGCGAAATCCGATATTTCTTCTGCCAACCCGCCCACCATTAGCGTCACAAGGTAATCTTAATTATCATTTCCATGAAACTTCACAACTGTGAGCACGAAGTCAATATTTCTTGCGTCAAGAGTTTTACTTGATCACGACTCTAAATTTCTTGTATATAAAGAAAGCCCAAACCCACACCATTGCATAATTTGATTATCATTAAGAATGGCTTCAAGCATTGTAAGCATGATTAGCATCTTTCTTTTGTTTGCAATGTCTGGCCATGCGCTTGCAAGCTTGAGCCCAACGTTTTACAGCTCGACATGCCCAAATCTCACAGGAATCGTTCGAGCCGCAGTACAACAGGTTGTGGCAAGTCAGCCACGAATGTGTGCATCTTTAGTTCGACTCTTCTTTCATGACTGCCATGTGAATGTAAGAAAAGCTTTCACCTTTCGATTAAGCAGGAAAATTAAGCATGCCTACAATTGCAGGGATGTGATGCATCCATCATGCTGAATGGCTCAAACAATGAGCAGTTTGCTTTCCCAAACATAAACTCTTTGCGAGGATACAACGTGATCGAAAACATCAAGGCTTTGGTGGAGGCGAAATGCCCAAACACTGTCTCATGCGCTGATATCATTGTGATCGTCGCTAGAGAGTGCGTCATGGCGGTAATGACAGTAATTATACCATTAAGTAGAACTAATTCTGTATTGACCAGCTGAATGGACCAACATGGACCGTTACCTTTGGCCGGCGAGACAGCCTCACGGCAAACCAGACGGCTGCAAACGTAGAACTTCCACCTTTCTTCTTCAATGTTTCCAGGCTCATCGCTAACTTTCAAAGCCATGGCCTCTCCGTGCAAGATCTAGTCGCTCTCTCAGGATCTCACACCATTGGCCAAGGCCAATGTGGGAACTTCAAGTCTCGCCTTTATGGTCCATCACTGAGCTCTTCGCCAGATTACATGAACCCTTACTACAATCAGTCGCTCAGGAGCCAGTGTCCTAGCAGTGGTGGTGACTCAAACCTTTCTCCTCTAGATTTGCAAACTCCAGTGGTGTTTGACAACAAGTATTACAAGAACTTGATAAATTTCAGTGGATTGTTCCATTCTGACCAGACACTGTGGAGTGGTGGCGATTGGACGGTTGCGCAGCTGGTGCACACTTATGCCATGGATCAAGCACGATTTTTCCAGGACTTTGCGACTGGAATGATCAATATGGGAAACCTCAAGCCGCTCTTAGCTCCAAATGGACAGATCCGTAAATACTGTGGCAAAGTGAACTAGATTTTTTCAATAAATAAAAATTATTATCCCTTGGTTCCAAGGTATTTATCAAGATAATTCTTCGAATCTCCAGTCAACACGTTGATATTGCCCATCCTTACCATTGCATTACCAAAGTCCTGGAAGAAAGTGCTCTGGCTCGAAGCCCATGAGTTGACAAGATTCCTCGTGCTGAACTGGTCCCCGGAAAAGAGCGTCTGGTCCGAGAAGAGCAACCCTCTCCGGTTATGCAAGTTCCTAAAGTAGCGATTGACAAAGCTGGTGGGCGTCTGGATGTCGAGCGGCGAGAGATTGGTGTCGCCATTGCTGCCCGGGCACGAGCTTTGCAACGTCTGGTCACCGCTTTGGAAGGGCCTGTAGAGCCGAGCCTTCAAGTTGGCGCACTGGGTCTGCCTGGAGAGAGCCATATTTTCCGAATTTGATTTCTAACACCCACGCAAAGAATTCCGATATTTTTTCTGCCAACCCACCCACAATTAGCGTCACAAGCTAATCTTAATTATCATTTTCTCAACTCTGAGCACGAAGTCAATATTGCTTGCGTCAAGAGTTTCACTTAATTGTCTTGATCAGCTCCCTTGTATATAAAGAAAGGCCAATTCCATAATAAACTTGCATATTTTGATTATCACTAAGAATGGCTTCAGGCATCATGATTAGCATCTTTCTTCTGTTTGCAATGTCTGGCCATGGGCTTGCAAACTTGAGCCCAACGTTCTTGTTCAAATCTCACAGGAATTGTCCAAGCTGCAGTTTGTGGCGAGCGAGCCACAAATGTGTGCATCTTTAGTTCGACTCTTCTTTCACGACTGTCATGTGAATGTAAGAAAAGCTTTCCCCTTTCGATTAAGCAGGAAAATTAAGCATAACTTGCAGGGATGTGATGCATCCATTATGCTGAATGGCTCAAAGAATGAGCAGTTTGCTTTCCCAAACATAAACTCCTTGCGAGGATACAACGTGATCGAAAACATAAAGACTTTAAACACTGTCTCATGTGCTGATATGATCGTGCTCGTTGGTCGGCTGTGGTAATGGCAGTAATTATACCACTTAGGATGAACATTGACCAGCTGAATGGACCAACGTGGACCGTTACCTTTGGCCGGCGAGACAGCCAGAAGGCTGCAAACGTAGAACTTCCACCTTTCTTCTTCAATGTTTCCATGCTCGTCGCCAACTTTCAAAGCCGTGGCCTCTCTGTGCAAGATCTAGTCGCTCCCTTGGGATCTCACACCATCGGCCAAGGCCAATGTGGGACCTTCAAGTCTCGCCTCTATGGTCCATCGCTGAGCTCTTCGCCAGATTCTATGAACCCTTACTACAACCAATCGCTCAAGAGTCAGTGTCCCAACAGTGGTGGTGACACAAACCTTTCTCCTCTAGATTTGCAAACTCCAGTGGTGTTTGACAACAACTACTACAAAAACTTGATAATTTTCAGTGGATCGTTCCACTCTGACCAGACACTGGAGTGGTGGCGATTGGACAGTTGCACAGCTGGTGCACACTTATGCCATGGCTCAAGAGTTTTTTTCCAGGACTTTGCGACTGGAATGATCAATATGGAAAACCTCAAGCCACTCTTGGCTCCAAATGGACAGATTCGTAAATACTGTGGCAAATTTTTTCAATATATAAAAATTATCCCTTGGTTCCAAGGTGTTTATCAAGTATACTTTTTCTCAAGCTAGTTTGTTCTTCCACAGTTTCTTCGAATCTCTCCATTGGATCCAGTCAACACATTGATATTACCCATCCTTACCATTGCATTGCCAAAGTCCTGGAAGAAAGTGCTCTGGCTCGAAGCGTATGAGTTGACGAGATTCCTCGTGCTGGCCTGGTCCCCGGAAAAGAGCGTCTGGTCCGAGAAAAGCAACCCTCTCCGGTTCTGCAAGTTCCTAAAGTAGCGGTTGTCAAAGCTGGTGGGCGTCTGGACGTCGAGCGGCGAGAGATTGGTGTCGCCATTGCTGCTCGGGCACGAGCTTTGCAACGAGGTGTTAAAACTTTGATCCATCTGGTCACCTATTTGGAAGGGCCCGTAGAGCCGAGCCTTAAAGGTGATGCACCGGGCCTGCCCAATGGTGTGAGCCCCAGAGAGAGCCACCATATCTCTGGTTGAAAGCCCCTGGTTTTGGAAACTCGCGATGAGCGCTGAGGCATTCAAAGTTGGAGGAGGAAGGTTGGCATTTGCGGCAGATTGGCTTGCTGTTAAGCTATCCCTCCTTCCAAACACCACCGTCCACGATGGCCCGTTCAGCTGTAAAAACACCACAAAACGAAAAGCGTTGACATTGTAAGCTTTTGACCGTTGACTTTGAGAGTTTACCGCGACTACGGAGTCCCGGGCAATGAGCGCCAGTAAGTCAGCGCAGGAGACAACACCCGGGCAGGAGCTTTCGACGGAGCTCTTGATGGAGTCGACGATGTCGAAGCCACGGGCGGAGCCAGCGTTTGGACGCGCGTTTTGCTCCAGGTTTGCGCCGTCGAGAAGAATGGAAGCATCGCATCCCTGCAAGACAAATGCATGGTTCTTTCAATATGCTTGAATGAAACTTATGGAAGCTTTCTACATTGACAAAGCAGTCGTGGAAATGGAGGCGAACAAACGAGGCTGCGATTCGAGCCTCTGCCTGGACGGCCTGCTGCACTGCAGCTCTCACGATGGTGGTGAGATTTGGGCACGAGGAGCGGTAGAAGCTGGAGCTCAAAGTTTGGCCAAGAGCACTCCCATGCAGGGCCAGCAACAACACAAGCACAAAGGACATGATCGCCATCTTTCCGCTTGAGCTTTAGCTTCACTCGAAAGGCCTGCCTTTGAAACGTTTGAAACGTTGGCATTTATAAATGGAACCTCGCCGTATCGAGCACGGGTGCCACGGTGGTGAATTATATTAAACACAACTCGAGCCGGTGTATTTTGACAAGCTTTTTGTTTTGTGATGGAATAAGTCGTATCCATTTCATGTGGTTTGTTTGAATGAAAGTCGGTGGTGGCACACAAGTTCAAACATTTCACCCTCGAAAGAACCAAATCTCACAACTTCCAAATCTCACAAGAGATGATCAAGCTTGTCATGACGCAAAAAAAAGTCAAGCTCAAATGCATCCTGTGACTTTGGACAATTTTTCTTGGTGGAGTGTTTTAGTGGAATCATTCCCATTCCGCCACCAAAGCATCCTGCCTGTCCGCCATTGTAACTTGTTGCTGGCTAATGGCCCCTCCACTTTCGTGTGCTGTGAATAAGAAATTAGAACTTTCGAGGAGAAAGCTTCCACCTCCTAAGTGCATTCTGCAAGTGGTGTTTTGTCTCATCAAACGAGAAAGAGTTTGCCAGCAAAACAAACGCTGCGGCATTTTGGGGATCCAGACTTAGAACTCTTTCACTCACACGAGCGCCCCTTTCAGCGTCTTTCCGATCGATACAAGAGGCCAGAATGCACGTCCAGTCGTAAACGTCTGGAACAAAAGGCATGCGAGTGATAAGATCTTCGGCCTGGTCCAGATACCTCGCCCTCGAGAGGAGATCAATCAAGCAGCAGTAGTGCTGCTTGCTTGGTATCAATCCATAGTCCATTCTCATAGCGATAAAGAGAGACCAACCCGGATAGACCACTCCAGCATGACTAGCGGCAACCAACGCGCAAGTGAAAGCAATCTCATCAGGAATCTCGCTCATTTTCATCGAGGCAAACAAATCCAGTGCCTCGGAAGAATGTCCGTTCTGGGCATATCCAGCAAGCAAAGCGTTCCACGAAACAATGTCCCTTTCGATCATCCAGCTAAATACACGCCTAGCTTCCAGAAGATGCCCATTTTGGGCATATGCCGCTAACAAAGCATTGCAGGAAACGAGATCCTTTTGGGGAATTTCGTCAAACATGAACTTTGCATCTTGAAGATATCCGTTTTGGGCATACGAGGACAGCATCGCATTCCATGATACCAAGTCCCACTCGGGTATCCCGTCAAATATCTGCTTAGATTCCTCAAGATGCCCGTTCTGGGCATACACACTGAGCATCGCCGTACACGAGACAATGTCCTTCTCGTGGAGGCTTTCGTACACCTCCCTTGCTCTTTCGACGTCACCATTCCACGCGTGCATGGAGAGAATGGCGTTCCACGAGATGAGATCCCTGTCGGGCATTTGCTGAAAGAGCTCTTTGGCTTTGGGCAACTGTCCTGCCTGAACATATGCAGCCAGCATGGCATTCCACGACACTAGCGTTCGTACCTCCATTCGATCAAATATCCGCTTTGCCTCTCCCATGTCACCATTTTGCACACACGCAGTCAGCATGGCATTCCAGGACACAACGTTGCGCTCGCCCATCTGATCAAATATTCCTCTAGCCTGTTGGAGCTGGCCGTTAAGTGCAAACCCAGAGAGCATTGCGTTGGAGGCGATGAGATCGTGCTCCTTCATACGATCAAAGAGTTTCACGGCATCTTGCAGATGCCCATTTTGGGCATATGCCGCAAGAATTGTTGTCCAGGAAACTAGATTTCTTTCCTTCATAGAGTCAAATACTATCTTCGCAGATTCCAAATCCCCGCTTTGAGCGCATGCCGCTAGCATTGTGTTCCATGAAACAAGGTCGCGGTTTGGCATCTCTTCAAATATCCTCCTCGCCTGAAAGAGATTCCCGTTCTGTCCGTACGCCGCCAGCATAGCATTGTACGACACAAGGTTCTTCTCGCGCATGCTTTGAAATACCAGCAAGGCGCCTTGCAAGTGCCCATTGTGGGCATTCCCCGTCAGCATGGCATTCCACGTAACGAGGTCCAGCTCGGGCATAGAGTCAAACACCTTCTCGGCGTCTTGTAAATACCCTCTTTGGGTATATGCCACAAGGAGCGTAGTCCACGCCACGAGATCCCTCTGCGGCATGGCATCGAATATCTGTTTGGAGTCCTCAATATGCCCGTTTCGGGCATATGCTGATAGCATGAGAGACCAAGTGTAGACATTCCCTGTGGAAATGGTGTTGAAAACGAGGCGGGCTTCGTGAACACTGCCGCATTTTCCATACATTTCGAGGAGCCTGTTTGAGAGGTAAATGTGGGTGCCAAGGAGGTGGCGGACTTTGGAGTGGGCAAAGCGTACCATGGAGAGGTTGCTGCAAGAATTTACGAGCTCCACGCATGATGCGTGATCGAGGCTGACCCCAACTTCACACGCTCTCATCTCGCCAAGACGAAAGGATAAACAAGATTCAACGGTAGTCCAGCCATGGCTGCGATGGCGTTGACCGTGTTAGTTCTGGCGAGGGTAGAAGTTTCCATCCATCAAATCGTTTAGATTCAAGCTAGAGCATCTTTGAGGTCTTACGTACCATGAGAGCTTCCATTCACGTAAGATCTTAAAGACGCTCTAAAGCGATGTTTTGCTCACCAGGCAAGGAGGGCCCCGGAATGACAACTGTGATTGATTTGATCTTGTTTGTTATCATCCCGTGAGACGTGAAAGAGAAAGAAAGAGTGAGAGATAGAGGTGGTCTTCATGATCCGAAAGCGTGGCTTTCACTTTGATCTCTTCTCGATCGTGATCACGCAACCGAAAATTTGTCGTGCTCTTGGAGCTATTGGGTCAAACGGCGCGGCAAAACAATTAGAGCTGTACGAGTGTTAGTGTGTCCCACACACGTTTGGCCAAAGGACTCGTGGGTGGTCTGAAGAGAAACTTCTGGGCTATCAACCGACTATACGTCTTCCAAGCAAAAACCGAGCGGCGTTCGTAGTATATAATGGATGCGTAAGCGACTGTGGAGTCCAGAGTTCCAATTCCGAAGCAAGCAATCATCTCAATCCATAGTTCTTTCTTAGATCTTTTGAAGAAGAACAGTTACAGTTCTTGGATCATCTTTGCTCTAGAGGTTTTTGCGTTTTCCGAGCAATGGATCGTTTTGGAGCATGGTGGTGGTCGTCTGTGATAGCAGTGCTGCTGCTGGGCCTGGAAGCAAACGCCCAGCTCTCCAGTTCCTTCTACTCCAGCACTTGCCCCAATCTCACCGATATCGTGAGGAACGTAATCCAGTCGGCTGTGGCCAACGAGAATCGAATGGCGGCATCGATCCTTCGCCTCCACTTTCACGACTGCTTCGTTAACGTAAGCAAAGAAGAATGAGCGCGTTTTTCAAATTTCGGGAATGTCCTGTGAATATGCTCCCTGACTTTAAAATTCTTTGCTCATGGCAGGGCTGTGATGGATCAGTGCTCCTCCAGGGCGGGGAGGAGAACGCTCCCCCCAACCAACGCTCCGCCAGAGGATTCGAAGTCATCGATAGCGTCAAGAGCGCCGTGGAGAGCGCCTGCCCGGGAGTCGTCTCCTGCGCCGACATCCTCGCACTGAGCGCCCACGAATCCGTCACAGCAGTAAGTCACCACTCGATCCACTATCCAATTCGATCGATCCACGAGCGAATTCGATCGACCCAAGAGCCAATTGTCCCGAGCTCACTGACCCAGACCGCGTTTCGCCTTGTTTGCAGCTGGGAGGACCCTCGTGGACAGTGGTGTTTGGCCGACGAGACAGCCTCAGCCCCGCGAGCGTGACCGACGTGAGCGCCAACCTCCCGGGACCAGGATTCACGGCATTGCGTCTCATCAGAAGCTTCCAGAACCAAGACCTCTCCCCGCGCGACCTGGTGGCTCTCTCGGGAGGCCACACCATCGGCCAGGCCCAGTGCTTCACATTTCGCGCTCGCCTCTACAATGGCACCGCGGGAGACAGCATCGATCCGGCGCTCAAGTCCCGGCTCGAGCAAAACTGCCCCCCAAGCGCTCCAAACGGCGACAGGAACTTGGAGAACCTAGACACCTCTCCCGCCACCTTTGATAACACGTACTTCCAGTTGCTCCAGTCAACGCAGGGATTACTCTTCTCTGACCAGCAGCTCCTGTCGGGCGGTCAGAGCGAGCTGGCCAGCATGGTCAACGAGTTTGCGGGCGACCAGCAGGCATTCTTTACCGCGTTTGCCAATGGGATGGTGAGCATGGGCAACCTTTCGCCTCTCACGGGGAGCAGTGGTGAGATCCGAGCAACCTGTCGCTCCTCAAACTAATATAGTCATCTCTTGAAGCATCTAAAAGATGCCAAAAACATACCAAATCCAATTGGAAGAATTCCTTGTTGCGACGTAACAAAAAGAGCTTGGAACTGTTCTATAGAATTCTACTAAACTAGTCGAAAAATCTCTTGAAGCATTTAAAACATGCCAATAACACACAAATCCAAGTAGAATTCCTTGTTACGGAACTCTCGATTCATTGATTGCCACAAGAATTCGTTGTTCGAAGAACTTGGAACTCTTCGATTGATGTTCTTAGATTTTTTCCAGAACAAAGAATCTCTTCAAGCATCTAAAAGTTGCACAAGTCCGAATGGTAGAATTCGTTGTTGCGACGTAACAAAGAGCTTGGGATGATGTTTTAAAGTCGTGTTTAGATTTTAATCTTCTCGTCAATCGATCGCGGCTGCAGCCAATTGACTTTGAATAGGTTGCTCATAATTGCACCTAGTTACAGATTCTCAAAGTAAAAATGGCGGCTCCAAGTCCTGCTCAATCGTTTTCATCTGTGTTTTGTAAACGAACAGCATGATCGCATTTGACAATCGGGGCAGCTCACTTCCATCGCACGGAATTTGGACAAGTCACCAGCAAGAAACAGGAAGTAATCGGGAACAGTAAGAGATAGGATTCAGTCTCATTTAACGGATTCATGCCAGTCCACGCGGTTAGCGCAAAAGCTCCAAAAAACGCTCGCTCGTCAATCTTTTGTGGGCGATTGGGATTGGTTTTTGCTTCGATCAGTGTCACACCGCTTTGTATTTTTCGTTTAAAGTTTACACTATTTCCCAATTTAACAAATTCTTTTCTGGATGTTTTTCCTTCTAGGTGGGATGTTCCTGGTTGGTAATATTTTCACGTCTGGTCTAGAGATTTGTGAGAGGCAGTGTTGTATACAACACCCTTGAATTTATGAAGTGTTACAATCAATCATACGTCTGGATTTTTCAATTGTTAAAATATCTGTTATCAAACTAGAAGAATTGGACTTTCCATTGTTAAAATATCTGTTATCAAACGGAACACCGTGATATCATCTTATTCTTCCAAGCTGTGATATCATCTTCAAACTCCTCCAAACAATCGCCAGCACGTCAAAGTCTTGATCGTGCTAAAACTCTCGGACATCAGTCTAGTCTCTCTTGGTAAAAACGGATATCTCCTAGTATTTTAAAGCAGTAGTAGCAAAAGGTCGTCCAGCCGGCCCACAGAGTGAGACCCACACGCGTTTGTAGTAGAGAAGGTTCCAAAGCCGACATATTGACATGTTCTTACATCCTCCGGTGTTATATATCAAGCCGCATCCCTGTCAAGCATATACAAGCGTTTGAGCGAAGAAAGAAAAAAAGGAAACGATCGTCTCACTTCGCTCGTTTGTCATTCCAAACTCTTTTCAGGAGGTCCGGGTCCGATGGCGTATAGTCGAGCGGCAGTGTGGTCGTGTTTGATTGCTGTGATGCTGCTAGGATTCCAAGCCAATGCTCAGCTCAGCTCTTCCTTCTACTCGAGCACCTGTCCCAACCTCATTTCCATTGTCCGAACCGCCATCACCAATGCTGTCAACAGGGAGAACAGGATGGCGGCATCCATTCTCCGTCTCCACTTTCACGATTGCTTTGTAAACGTAAGCTGGAGTCTCTGAGATCCCAAAAAGTTGTCGCCTGACTTGTCTTTCCTTTTCTTTCCTCTGTCTCTTGTAGGGCTGTGATGCATCGATTCTTTTGGATGGATCCAGTGGAGAAAAGAACGCAGGGCCAAACGTGAACTCCGCCCGAGGCTTTGATGTCATTGACAATGTCAAGGCCGCGGTGGAGAGCTCCTGCAAAGGCGTTGTTTCGTGTGCCGACATTCTCGCACTCAGCGCGAGGGAAGCCGTTGTTGCGGTAACGATTTCTATCCTATCCTTACCTCGTCTGATACTTCGTTCCTCCGAAGCTACCCTAAACCAGAGCATTTTGAAAACTTCTGATGGTGCAGCTTAGAGGACCGTCTTGGACTGTTGTCTTTGGGCGACGAGATAGCACAACTTCGAGCCAGAGCACTGCAAACTCGGCAATCCCCCCACCATCGTCCACTGCCTCGAGGCTCATTACCAGCTTCCAGAACCAAGGCCTCTCAACTCAAGATCTCGTAGCGCTGTCTGGCAGTCACACCATCGGCCAGGCCCAGTGCACCAACTTCCGAGCTCGCCTCTACAATGGCACTTCAGGTGACACCATTGACGCATCATTCAAATCGAACCTGGAGAGGAACTGCCCCAGCACCGGAGGGAACTCGAATCTTGCGCCTCTGGATCTTCAGACTCCGGTCACCTTCGACAACCTCTACTTCAAGAATCTGCAGGCTCAGAAAGGCCTCTTATTCTCGGACCAGCAGCTGTTCTCCGGCGGCCAGAGTTCTCTTATGTCGACTGTCAACACTTACGCCAACAACCAGCAAGCGTTCTTCAGTGCTTTCGCAACTGCCATGGTGAAGATGGGAAACATCAATCCGCTCACAGGATCCAATGGCCAAATTCGAGCAAACTGCAGGAAGACAAACTAAGAACATGGACAGAAGGCAGGAAAATATTAGTTACTCGCGTGATGTATTTCCAAGTTTACGCCTGGGTGTAGCCTGTGTACCTGAAAATAACACTTTCGACTCAACAAAGAGCTTTCTTACCTCACTCAAATGCAAAACTCGTCAAGGCAATTATATTCCTTATTCTTTTTAAGTTATTGACATTGGACTCCTGGCAGATCTCACATCCAGCTTCATTGATCTTGGTTTTGCTGGCAGCACCAGCTCCTCCAACCACTGATCTAGATTGTCAAGCAGGTTCATAAAGAAGAAAAGTTGCCTGATTGCTTCTCTCTTCCCTTTGGCACTCTCCACAAATGCCTTAAACATGTAATGGAGAACAGCATGGCAGCATCCTTTCTCCGTCTCCACTTCCACAGTTGCTTTGTAAACATAAGCTGGAGTTCCTGAGATCGCAAGTTGCATTTCAAGGTGTCCCCTGACTTGTTTCTTCGATTCTTCTGGATGGCTCCAGTGGAGGAACGAAAGCAGGACCGAAAGTGAACTCTACCCGAGGCTTTGATGTAATTCACAATGTCAAGCACGCGATGGAGAGCTTCAGCAAAGGCGCGTGCACTCAGCGAGCGCGAGGAAGGTTGTTGTGGTACCTATCCTGACTCTGTCCCAGCTGTTCTCCGAACCCGAATATCTATCCTACGGGTTACCTCGTGTGATCGTCCCAAGATCACGCATCCCCTCTATTTCCCTGTTCCATTTACCTCAGAGCCTCTGAAAACTTCTGATAGTAATTACTTGTTGTGGACCGTCTTGATAGCACAACTTCGAGCCAGAGCACGGCAAACTCGGCAGTCCCCGCACCATCGTTCACTGCCTCGAGGCTCATTACCAGCTTCCAGAACCAAGGCCTCTCAACTCAAGATCTCCCATCGGCCAAGCCCAGTGCACCAACTTCCGAGGTCGTCTCCACAGTGGGACACCATTGATGCATCATTCAAGTCGAACCTGGAGAAGACATGCCCAAGCACCGGAGGGAACTCGAATCTTGCGCCTCTGGATCTGCAGACTCCAGTCACCGTATATGAGCAAACTGCAGGACGACAACTAAGAACATTATTTAACATACAAGACAGAGGCAGGAAAAATACTTGCCTGATGTATTTCCAATGCCTGGGTGTGCAAGCAAAAGGAATGAAATTACTCTTTCGGCTGAGACTCGCTACAAAGAACATTATAAATCTTTATTACCTCACTCAAATACAAAACGATTGTCTTGGCTGCATCTCCATACAAGTAGTAGCGTCTATATGAAGGACGCTTGCTGAAGTCCAAAGCAGCCTTTTACACACTACAAACAAATACAACTATATCAGTTACTCTTTTTAAATTTTTGAAATGAGTACCTTAGGACGTAAAACAGCCTCTCCTGGCAGATCTCAGAGCCAACTTGTCGTTGTAGTCATTGATCTTGGCTTTTGCTGACAACACCAACTCTTCCAGCCACTGATTTCGATTGTTGAGCAGGTCAATAGAGAAGCAAAGTTGCCTGATTGCTTCCCTCTTCTCTTCAGCACTGTCCGCAATGGCATCTCTCTGCCTTTGGTTTTCCATCTCTAGCTCAGACACCTGCCGGTTCATCTCCGCCACCTTCGAGTTTAGACTTGACACAGTCCATTCCCTGTCTTCTGCCAAGGACTTGAGCCTTTGGATTTCATCCGAAAGGTTTGATGCTTCGTTTCTTTGCTCAACCAGAGCATGTTCCTTGGCTTCGTCGTTTTCGGCCAGGCTGAATACCTGTTCGATCAAGGCTTTGTTCTTGGCCAGCAGACTCGTGGCTGTGCCCTTCATAAACCTCAGACCAGCTGTAAGTTCTCTCTGCTTTTCCTCCTGCTCCTCCATCAGAACTTGCAGCTTCCCATTCTCTTCCTGTAAGAAGGCAATCTCTTTCTGCATTGACGAAGAAGTCAGGGATGACTTCTCGTCAAGTGAAGAATACTTCTCCTCCAGCTCCCGGAGGTTGTGTTGTAAAGTCTCTTTCTCGGCGCAAAGCTCCTGAACCTCTCCCTCCAGCTTCTTCGTCAGCTTCTCCAGCTCGGCTTTCAGCGTATTGTTTTCCTTCTGCACCCTGAGAAAATCTTCTCTGAACCCGTGCAGTCGTTTCTCAGTCTCACGATGTTGCTGCAGCTTCTCCCTGGCCTTCTCGCTGAGTCTCTTGTTCTCTGCCTGAGACCTCTCCAAAGCTTCCTGTAACTTCTGAATCGCCAGACTTGCACCATCAGCCTCCCCATCAGAACACGATGAGGACGATGAGGATTCCTCCCCGTCCTGACTCTGCTCCACCGACTTCTCGTCCACGCTAGAAATATCAAAGTGATCCCCGTTGCCGTCACATTCGCCAGTCTCGCTATTGGAATCGGTAAACAAAGTGGAAGAAGTCTCCTTAATAATATCACTTCCTTGCTTCTTCTGTTTGGCGAAAGGAGACGATCGCGGGGACTCAGAGACAAGCCCGTACTGCGATTGAATTGTGGATGGTATCTGCCGAATGCTTCCAGTAAGTTGGTCATACCGCTCAGCCAAGGCCCGGTAGCCTCTGTAGAACTGCTCCACCACTTTCAAGAGATCCGGCCTCTTCTTGTAATACATCTCCGCTCTCTGAGCAAACGAGTCGGCATCCCCTTCTATCAAAACCAGCATTGCCTGTACATTCGCCTCAACATCTGCTAACAAAAAAAAATCAAAACTTTAGCAAACACGTTGCTTCACAGCGGGAAGAATCCCAGGAAAGAGTAAACTTACCTCCCAAGTTTTCCTGGAGCCACTTTGAGTGCTTTGGGCGATTATGGCTTTCCCACCACCAGGACTGAGAGCTCCCAATGTCCATCTTCATGAGCTCCCTGCGCCATGCATCACACAGAAGAAACTTTAGCAGCCTTATCTAAGACAAATCCAAACAGGAGGAGAAATCGTCACGACAGGACCAAGAATGGCGTGTCGCGACATGCAAGATGATCTACTCTAAGAAACCATTCTCATTCTTTCGAGACCCCAAATCGCGGACGCATAGAATGCAGCCACACTGAAATATGCAAGAAGCTCAAGATCGATCATCTCTCGTGCTTGCGCAATGGACATTTCGCCAAGAAACGATCTATGATCCATGATATTCGCCCGCCCTCTCTCGCGATTCAGGGATGCAACGCGCTCGCCATGGAAGGATGCAATGCAACGATCTAATCAAGCACAGCGCTTACTTGGATTCGATCCCGCCAAGAGCCGCGCTGTGGAGGCGGCGCACGTTTCTTCCAAGATCCACACCGCGCAAAACCTTCCCTTATTCTCTACCTAGGCAAGAACAAAAGAAATAAGAACTCTCTACTACACTGCGCGACGAGGCAATAATGGCCGTCGGATGCCAGCAGCCGACGGCCAGGAATCTTTGCGCAGGCAGCCGTTGGAGACATCGCAGATGGGCGGCCTGGATGCGTCCTTGTCCTTGTCACGCCCGCCACGTGGCACAGCCCCCCGCATTTTGAAAATTTTACCGCGCTGTATGTTTGGGGGCTCTCCGGTAAAGTCATTTAGGGGGAAATATTTTAATCCAGATGGAATATACTCTCGAGGTATTTATTTGGGGGTTCTTCGCGAGGACAGAGACTAAAATTTTGGAGTACAAAGAAAATGGCGCCCACTGCGGCCAATCTTTTCACTCCGGAGGAGTTTTCTTCGTTCAAGGAATCGCTGCGCGGCGTCAAGGATCTCGTCGACAGCGGCATTCGCGAGCTTCCAAGGTTCTACATCGGATCGGACAGCCGGATGCGCGTCCAATCGTCTGTATTGCCGCCCGGGGGCGAGGTTCCGATCGTCGATCTCCGGGAGCTGGATGGGAGCGATCGCGGCCGAATCGTCGAGGCGGTGGCGAGGGCATCGGAGGAGTGGGGTTTCTTCCAGGTAATATCTCATCACGAGATCTTTCACGAAATATTTCCATGGATTTCTAGGTGATCAATCACGGAGTCGAGGCTGCCACAATCCACGAAATGGTGGAGGTCGCGAAGGAGTTCTTCGCCATGCCTGTGGAAGATCGCATGGAGATTTTCTCGGCGGACTTGTTTAAGAGGACGCGATTTGGCACCAGCCACAATCCATCGCGAGAAACTTCGCTCGAGTGGAAGGATTATTTACGGCATCCTTGCCTTCCACTGGAGGAGTCTATGCAGTCCTGGCCAACAAAGCCAGCTTCATACAGGTATCATTTTTTATTTCGCGTAAGCCACTAGAACACTAAAAGATACCACTCACAATTTTCTTTTGTTTCTTAACCAGGAGGGTCGCATCGGATTACTGTAGAGGAGTCAAGGGTCTGGCGGACAAACTCCTGGAAGTTCTCTCCGAGAGCCTTGGCTTGGAGCGGAGATACCTGGGCAGTGTTTTCGGGAGCGAGAGGCTGCAAGAGATGTTTTGCAACTATTATCCACCTTGTCCGAATCCAGAGCTTACGATCGGGATTGGCGAGCACTCAGACGTGGGAGGGATCACTTTGCTCCTGCAAAACGAGGTGGAGGGCCTGGAAGTTTGCAAGGACGGGCACTGGTACTCGATCAAACCAGTGAAGGATGCCTTCGTCGTCAACCTTGGCGACCAGCTCCAGGTACCATTCTTTCGGCATTTTCTCTTTTGGAACTTTGGTGGACGATGCCTTACAGATTTTGAGCAACGGGCGATTCAAGAGCGTGGAACACCGTGCCAAAGTCAGCAGCGACAAGCTTCGCATCTCGATTCCTACGTTCTATCAGCCGTCGAGAGGAGCGCGAATTCGTCCCATTCCGGAGCTACTGGACGAGGAGCACCCCCCGGCCTACAAGGAGGTAACTTTCCAGGATTACTTGGCCGATTTTTTCAAGCACAAGCTGCAAGGCAAGAGATGCCTCGACTCTTACAAGATCTTATAATGGGAAACGCTATAGCATAAAAAAGATTGATTCTTTATTTTATAATAGCCATGCTCAGGTTATACTAGAGCTAGCGCAAACAAGAGCATCAAAGCGCATGGCCACGGCTTTCTACGTTGTGATGAAGATGGAGTGGTGGAAGGAGAGCTTTGTGTTGGTGCTGGTGCTGGTGGTGACGGCGGCGATGAAGGTGGGGGTGAAAGTGGTGACGGTGGCTCCAACGAGTCAGGAGACGCGGGTAAAGGTGACGGTGGTGACTGTGATGGTGAAGGTGACGGTGACGGGGAGAGCAAAGGTGGCGAGATCTCTGGATTGAAACCTCCAGCAGCAAACTCCCATGCAAGAACTTCATAGCCATCGGCGAAAGCACCCGTTGCGGCTGAGAATCCAACCCAAACGCGATCACCCAAGAAATCGTTCAGTCTCACCACGCCTGAAACCATCGGCTCGTCGGGCCTTGGCTCGTAAAAGTAGCCCAATCTCACCTCCAAAACGCTGCTGCTGCTGCTGTAGTCGATCCAGGCGGACATGAGCGTCATGTTGGTGAATTGAAGCCCGCTGGACGAGAGATTCGCCACCCGGTACGAGTTCCTCACGCTGTTTATGTCGATGCCGACGTGCTGGTCTTGCGTCTCGTTCACGTTTGGGTATGTGTCGAACTCCACCGCCACCATCTGGTTGCTCGGATATCCATCTCTGTTCGCCGATATCAAGCCCAATTGGCGGCCAGAGCTCTCCTCCGGTGGAACTCGCGGGTCCTCGGTGGAGGAGGTGAGAAAGAACGCGAGGCCATCGGCGGAGATCAGGCCCTGGCGAATCCGGAAAATGAAGTTGGTGCTGAAGGATGAAACAGTGTTGGAGCTGCTATCGACGAGTCTGATTCTCTCCGCGTAGATTGCTCGCCCGGTCTCGAATCGCGATCTGGAAGTCAGGCGCAAGCAAGACCCCGTCTTGGTTGCGTTGCCTCCCACCAGGATCCTGTCATTCTCCGTGAAAGGGGGCGAGAAGGAGAATCGAAAGGATGAGACAAGAAGAAGATGGAGCAAGAAGAGGAGGAAAACGAGGAGACTCGATGATCCATGGCCAGCCATGACAATCCCCAATGGAGTGCAATGGGATGAATTCTCATGGATTTCAAGGAAGAGGTCGCTCGTGCTCCCCGTTCAACACGGTAGCGCAAGCGCCTTTTTGACTGGTAAGTCAAAAAGAGTCAATTAATTTTACCGTTGACGACATTAGTTAAACATAGTCAAAGCCCTAGCTCTTAAACCCTAGCCCTCGCCCATGACACTGAGCGCCGGGCGGGGGCTTCGCTGCGCCGCTGCTGGGAGGCGTCGCGAGTGCCTGCATTTGATCGTGAGGACGTCGTGGGATTCGCTCAGCGCGCATCTCGCGAATGATGGAGGTAAGGCGATCGGCAAAGCGAAGGCGCAGAGTGATGCCAGGGCTGCTGCATTGCCATCGCCAAGCAAGGAAGAGAGGTCCAAGCCTGGTATGGCGAGGAAGCAAGGAGAAAGAGCGAAGGCGATTGATTATAGGAAGAAGCCTGTGCTTGTTGTTGACAAGGAGAAGGAATGTCCAGTGGATGATAAGAAGAAAAGCTTGGGACGTACTCTTGGCGAGAAGAAAAGCTTGGAACCAGTTCTTAGCGAGAAGAAGGCTGTGGTTGGAGAGAAGAAGAAAAGCTCGGTATCGATTCTTGGCGAGTACAAGTGCTTCAAACTTAGCGAGGAGAAGCGAAGCATTGCTGACGAGAAGAAAGGCCTGGACAAGAAAGAAGTCTCTGATGCTATGAAGGTCGTTTCAAGCAAGGGAAGTGGTCGGGCTTCGAGAAGGACGGATGAGAAGTCGGATGGAAAGGAGAATTCAACCGAGGTACACGAGAAGAAGTTGGCAGATTCTAGAAAGGAGTTTCCTTCGAACAGTAGGCAGGATTTCCAGAAGAAACTTAACGACAGGATGGAAGAGAAGGAGAGCTCGAGAAAGCTCGAAGAGAAGAGGAATAGAAGAAGCTCGGCGAAGAATGCCATGGAGAGAATCAACATGAAGAAGGGTGCCGAGAGAAGATCGGACCCGCGGGATGGAAAAACTGCTGAGTCGAAAAAACCTCCTGGCGATGAGACTGCCGTGCAGAGGCTCCAAAAGGAAGCAGTGACTGACCGCGACAAGGCTGCTCGTGACAAGCTCGAGGAGCTCTCGGAAGCCAACAAGAGATTCAAGGACGAGCTAAAGAGCGAGAGAAGGTGGCGAAAGTGGGAGGGAGTTAAGCAGGAGTTTAAGCTCGAGGAGGACGACTGGAAGGCATGGGGGCGCGATCGACGAGACAGCTACCGGCGAGAGCTCTCTAACGCGAGAGGTCGTCTGGAGCAGCGTGACGGTGGTGGCGAGTACAGAAGCATCGATCCAGCAAGCAAAGAAAAGCTCGAAGAGATGAAAGCTGTGGAGAGCCTCAAGCACCGCCGCGAGCTCTTCTACAGCCAGCCTGCGTGCGTCGACACTTTCGAGCTCGGAGACGCGCTGCGAGAGTGTGCCAGGACGAGGAACTTGGCCGAAGGGAGGAAGATCCACGCTCGACTCGCTGAAGGCTTCTACGATCGGCACACTTACCTCGGCAACCTCTTGATCCAGATGTATGGAAACTGCGGCAAGATCGAGGAGGCTCGCAGCGTCTTCAACATGCTGGACGAGAAGAACGTCTTCTCGTGGAACATCATGCAAGCGGCGTTCATCCAGAACGGATTCGTGCAAGGCGCTCGGCAGATCTTCGACGCGAATCCAGACAAGAGCGTGGTCTCGTGGAACAGCATGATCGCGGCCTACGCTCACCGGGGGATGCTGGACGAGGCAAAGAACTTGTTCGAGAGCATGCCGATCAAGAACGTCGTCTCCTGGACGGGGATGCTTCAAGCTCTCGCTCGCAGCGGCAATGTGGAGGACGCAAAGCAGCTCTTTGACAAGATGGAAAACAAGGATCCCGTGACTTGGAACACCATGCTCTCGGCCTTCGCGTCCAAAGGCATGCTCAAGGAGACCAAGAGCTTGTTCGAGGAGATGCCTTTCCGGGACCGAGTTACTTGGACGGCCATGGTCACGGCTCACTCCCAGGCCGGGCAGGGGAAGGAGGCGATACGCTACTACTACCAAATGGCTCTCGAGGGACTCCAGCCGAACAGAGTTACGTGCTTGACGGTTCTCCACGCCTGTGCCGAGTACAAGAACTTCAAGGTGGCGAGAGCTTTTCACGAGCTGTTCGTGGAGAATGGCCTGGAGGTGGACGTGACTATCGGCACCGCGCTGGTGGACATGTACGCAAAGTGTGGGAACCTTCACCAGGCTCAGGTGGTTTTCAATCGGATGCCCGACCGGGACGTGGTAACTTGGACGGCGATGACCACCGCGTACGCCAACGCTGGGAAGTTTGGCGATGCTCAGGGGCTCTTCGCGGCCATGCCGATCAAGAACGTCGTCTCGCACAACACCATGTTGGGAGCTCTCATCAACGCTGGAAGGCTGGACGGGGCGAGGGAGATGTTTGAGAGGATGAGCGAGAAGAACTGGGCGAGCTGGAACTGGATGATCCTGGGATACGCAAAGTCGGGTTTTGGAAGGGAGGCGCTGCGGCTGTTTGGACTCATGGATCTGGAAGGCTACTACGCGGACAGATCGACTTACGCGAGCGCTCTCACAGCGTGTTCGAGCATTCCAGCTCCAGTGCAAGGCAAGCTCCTCCACCAGGAACTTCTGGAGAGCGGTGGCCTGGAAGACGATGCAGTGCTCACGACCGCGCTTCTCGACATGTACGCCAGCTGCGGAGGCCTGGAAACCGCCGAGAGCTTGTTCCGGGAGATGATTTTCAAGGACGAAGTCGCGTGGACTGCGATGATCGCTGGATACGTGCGCAACGATCTCGACGTGAAGGCCGTGGAGCTCTTCCGGGAGATGCTGGTGAATGGCCTGAGGCCCGGGGCCGTGCCGTTCCTCCACTTGTTCTCGGCGTGTAGCCACCTCGGCTTCGTGGAGGAGTCGCGGTGGTACTTTTTGATGATGCTCGAGGACTACAAGGTGGTACCGGAGCTGGACCACTACCTGTGCTTGATCGACTTGCTGGGACGAGCCGGGCAGCTGGACAGGGCCGAGGAGCTAATTGAAACCATGCCATTCCAGCCTGTTGCCGGGGCCTGGAGGACGCTGCTCTCGGCTTGCAAGACGCACAACGATAAGGAGCGAGCAGACCGAGCGGCAAAGAAGAACAGTGAGCTGGATCCGGGGTGTGGTTCTCCATATCTCATCCTCTCCAACTTAAACGCCGAGGCCGGGAATGCAAAGGTGGAAGAAGCAATAGGAGCTCGTCAAGAAGAGAAGATGGTCGCGAGTAGAGTCTTACATGCCGAGGCCGGGAATGCAAAGGTGGAAGAAGCAATAGGAGCTCGTGAAGAAGAAAGGATGGTCGCAAGTAGAGTCGAGCCCGGAGGAATCCAAGTGACAAACCAGGAACACCAACGCAGAGCTCCGGAAGATGAGCGATGGAGAGCCCGGGAAGAAGAACAGGGAACGAGCAAAAGCCAGCACGAAGTTTGGCAAGAAAACCAGTCCAGAGATTCGCAAGGCCAGAGAGAAAAGATCCAACTCGAGAAGAGTTTGGATCAACTTTCATCCCATATGGAGCAACTCTCTTATGCAACAGGAGCTCGTCAAGAAGAAAAGATGGTCGTGCCTGGAAGAATCCAAGTGACAAACCAGAGAAGTCGGGAACTCGAGAAGAGTTTGGATCAACTTTCATCCAAGATGGAGGAGCTCGCTTCTTCTTCTTCTTCTTCCGGTCGACGATCGATGAGGCAAAGTGGCGATGAAACAAGGTGGTCGAGGACGAAGAGTAGTAGCAGCGAGTGGCCGGACGTGGAGTTCCCGCCGGACGATCGGAATGGCTTTGTGGAGGACGGCTATGTCCAGCGGCGTGAGATCTTTGGAGACTACCAGCGATCGCAAGGCCAGCTCCACCGAGAAGCTCGCTACTCTTATGATCCTCCAAGCCAGGAAACACGTAGCGACGATCATCGAGCACAGGACTACGACGAGCTGTGGCGAGAGGAGGAGAGCTGGGATCAGCCAGAGCAGCAAGCTCGGCCCTCGCGCAGTGACGACGATCGGATAGTTCCACGCAAGACGAAGGTGGAGCTCGATTGCTGGGAAGGCGAGCGTGACGATTACTACCAGCTGAGGCAGCGAGCTCTGAAGAACAAGAGCTCCTCCTCGTCTCACTACTCGCTGGTGAGCCAGGGAAGCTACGTGAAATCCAACGCCATGAAGGAGATGGAGTTTTTCTACGAGAAAAAAGAGAAAGAGCTGCAAGAACAGGATTTTTACGAGCCAGAGTATGGATACAAGTGGTAACTTAGAGCGAATAACTCCTTACAAAGCTTTTATTTTGCGAGAAGATCTTGCGAAGATCACGTTAGCGAAGAACTGACAATTCATAGAACTTAAGTGCGAAGACCTTACAAAGCTTTTACTTTGCGAGAAGATCTTGCGAAGATCACGTTAGCGAAAAACTTACAATTCCACATAGAACTTAAGTGATAACTTAGCAAAGAACTTACAAAGCATACAACTTAAGAACTTTTAAGTTGCGAGAAGATCCTGCGAAGATCACGGAAGAGAAAAAAGAGAAATATTTCAATACAAGAGTGGCTAGTATTAAAAGAACACAAAGGATAGCTACAGTGACTACTTCTCCTCACCTGTCAAATTCCAATTCTTCCCCAGAAATTGTTGATCTCGAGTTTTTCTCTCCTCTCCGTTTTGTTCTTTCCCTCTGCTTTCCTTGTTGGGTAAGTCCTCCGGCCTCTGAATTGCTGCTGCTTTTGTTTTGTTGCTGTTGAAGATCGCTTGTCGAAAATTTGTTCCAATCCCCCGACAATGAAGTTCTTCCTTCTCCCCCTTTCGTTTTCTTCTCCTTCTTTCTTCTTCTTCTTCTCCTTCTTCTTCGTCTTCTCACTGTCCTCCAGTCCTCCATAGCTGGAAAGGTTTGTAAGTACCGAAAGAAGAAACGCATTTCCTTCCCTGTAGCTCCTTTTTGTCCTGCCCCGTGTCGATATCCGCCAGTCCCTCCACACCCACACATTTGCTGTGCTACTGCCGCCACTGCTGCTGCTGCTGCTCGCTCAGCCACTACCCGCTCCAAATGCTCAAAAGAAATCGAAGTCCAGATATGAGCCTGACCCGTTTGCCTCGCCACCAACAGGAGTTGCCGCTGGAGGAGCACTGGCCGGAGTCACCGGCCTCTTCTCCAGCGAGTGTTGCGTGGTAGTAGAGCTCAGCGGCGGCGGAGGTGGCGGCGGTGGTGCTACCCTGCTCGGAAGCACCGGCTCTGGCTCAAACGGCTTGGGGATCTCCGGCGGTACAGTCGACCGTATGAGAGCCCAGTTGACGCCTTCGAAGAAGGGGTGCTGCTTGATCTCGGTGGCGCCGCGCTTGGACGCCAGCCGGTGCTGCGGGTCCTTGACGAGCAGCCCGCGGATCAAGTCCCTCGCCGCGAAGCTGACGTGGGACGTCTCCGGGAACTTGAGCGGCTGGCCGACCACGTTGAAGAGCGTGGCCCGGTTGCCCGAGCCTTTGAACGGCGTCTTGCCGTGGAGGAGCTCGTAGAGGAAGATGCCGAACGTCCACCAGTCCACGGCACTGCCGTGGCCTTCGCCCTTGATGATCTCGGGGGCCAGGTACTCGTGAGTCCCGACGAAGGACATGGACCTGGCTCCTGTTGGCTCTGCGACCAGCTCCGGGAGTGGAGACACCTGGTTGCCGACGTCGTTCCTGGGCTTCCGGCTCTTCTTCGACTTGGCCTTGGAGAGGAACCGCGGGAGCAAGCACGATGGTTGCACGACGCATGCCGGTTGGATGCACGATGGCTGCACGCACGCCGGTTGTATGCAGTAGGCCGGCCCCCGTTTATCTCCATCCATGGACGACTTCACCAGCGTCGGGCTCACGACACACCGGAGTGACAAGTCGAAGTCGGACAGCATGATGTGCCCGTCCTCTCTCACGAGCACATTCTCCGGCTTGAGATCTCTGTAGACGACGCCCAACATGTGGAGGTACTCGAGCGACAAGAGCACCTCGGACGCATAGAACCTGAAAAAGTTTACGAGTATGAAATCAAAGTCCGATAAGAGGAAGACTATGAAATGAAAAGTCGGATGAGAAGAAGACTCACTTAGCAGCTTGCTCGGTGAAATGCTTGCCCGGTTGCCGCTGCCTCAGTGTGTGAAGATCACCACCCATGCAAAACTCCATCACCAGGCACGAGAACTTGTCCGTCTCGAAATGGGTATAGAGCGTGGGGAGGAAGGGATGATCTAGCGACTGTAAGATCTCCTTCTCGGTCTGGGCCCTGAGCAGCTTCTTCCGGCTCGCCAGCGACGCTTTGTCCATCACCTTCATCGCAAAGTGGCAGCTTGTGCTCCGCAGCTCTGCCAAGTAGACGCTGCCGATATCTCCACACCCGAGCCTCTTCAAGAGCCGGAAGTGGCTGAGACCCAAGCTCCCATCCCGCATTCTCACCGACTGGATCGCCTCCCATCTCTTGTCGTTGGCCTTGTGGGGCTTATTGGCGCTGCTGCTAAAGCTGCTACAGCTACTCTCGTCGCTCACATCGCTGCTATTGCTTCCCCGGCTAAGGCTGCTCTTGGCGCTCTCAGCGAGAGCGCCCCCTCCTCCTCCTCCTCGACCACTGATCTTCCCACCGCTACACTTGACATCGCTGCTGGTGCCATCGCTGATCTTGCCACTGTTATCGGTGCTGCTGCTCCCCCCAGTGACTGTGCTGCTACTCAAACTAGTCTTGACGCTCATGTCTATGCTGCTGCTAGTGCTAGTGCTAGTGCTGCTATTGCTGTCGCCCTGGTGCTCCCAGTTTGGCTGCTTGGCCGTGTCCAGAGTCCCCATTCTAGCGCTACAAGGCCCAGGAATCCAGAAATCTAGATCAGAGCGAGAGCTACCTGGAATTGCCGTGCCTAGAGGCCGAGAAATCCTGCCAAGGGCTCCCCGGCAGCGACAAGACCTGATGTTTCCAGCTTCGAGAAAGAGGAATGCGCTGCTGCTGCCGCCTGGGACCTAGCATGCATTGTGTTGCTTCCTCGAGCGCCGCGCTAGGCAAGAAATCGAGAGAGGGAAAAAGAAATATTTCGGCCGCGCGGGCGCCAATCTTTACTCCGCCCGATGCAACAGTGATGGCGCTGGTTGGAGCTCGGGCAGACCGCGCTATGGAGAATGCAGGGAAGACCAGTAGCAGCTTGCCTGTGGATCCGGATTTCCTCGAAGAAATTGTTGCGCCATGGAAAAGCCGAGGCGCGCCGCTCGAATTCCGCAGAGATCTGCCACGAAATTTGCCTCACCGCCCCCTTCCCGGCCCAGATCTTGGCAAGCACACGCTAGCGCGGCGGAGAGACTGAGAAAGAAGCGCTTTGGATCCTCGGCTAGAACGCTACAAACACAGGAAGAGTGACCTAGCGCTCTCTTTGCTCTCTCAGAGGGGCCGGGGCCGTACAGATGTGGTCTCAGCCATGGCTCATCCAGTGGCTCCATCATTTGCATACGGCAAAAGAAGGATTCCGGCGTGGCTTGTGCGGAATATGCCGCACGCGTTTAAACCTCAGTTTTTATAAAAAGGGTTAAAAATGTTTTTATGTTATCCTGGCGCAATGCTGCATGGCACCTAAAAACGTTACTGGTTGGTAACGCTCCCTCCTTTTTCCCTGGTTTTCACCCGCGGAATCCGGAACGCCCAGCACACATTCCGGGACGGAATGCCCAGCCCTAAAAGCCCTGTATGATGCGTCGCACCACCCCCCACTTGTCTTTGCTGCGTCTCGAGCGACAAAGAGATTTTGACACAATCCAAAATAGGGTCTCCGTAATCGCACTAGAGAAATTCATGTATTGTCTCTGGCCACCACAATAGCTTCCACTGTTCGTGCATGGTTTGCGTCCTATAATGTGAAATCCCCGCATTGTTTTGGCATTACAATCCAAATGCCCGGCGATCCAATGTGTGGCGCCTGGACGACAAATGCCCTGTTTGGGGACGTGGACGCCCAGCATTACACGTCCTTGTTTATGCTATTCTATAAAGTTTGGCGGTCTAATACAGCATAGATCTCCTTGTTGCGACGCTGAGAGATCCCCAACTTTACAGGAATCCAAAGGGGCTTTTCATTTCCATTCATCTCCCTTTTGATTGATCATTCAAGGCAGCGAATTTTTCTTATCTCTGACGCTGATTGATCCAAGATCCAACTCACTTATGACTCGCGCGCATCCGCGAGAACAACTCTTATAATATAATCTCCCAAGTGAAGACAACAGACAGAGTCGCTAAATTGGGAATATTACTATTGTTCTCGTTGTTGGCTTTCACTTTCGTGCTGGATTCACGTGTTAATGTGGATAGTTACCTTTATATCTATAATTTCTAATTTATTTTAACAATAATAACATTAATATTATTATTTTGTTTGTACTGATTATGGTCTAATAGGCTATATATATTGTTTGTGTGGTGGTGGGAGTGAGTGATCACTCACAAGGAATACAGCCACTAGACACCACGACATTACCAGTGACCACACTACCACCCAAACAGACCAAAAGAAAAAGGTGGCATTATCCAACTTGCAACAAACATGTGCTTGGAATCTTCTCTGTACGGCGTCCTCTCCGCCGTACGTCGCCCATACCGGTCAGGGCCCAAGATATTCTACTAAAGAAGAGAGAATGCCAAAGGGGCCCAAGGCATATGCCTTAAGGACATGCGAAAAGGAGATGCTGGCGTTGCCGGGGACCCTCTGCTAAGGACACACCCGACAGGTGGCACCAGGCGCTGACAAACACGTGTCAGACGGGTATGGGCCATGGCCATATGTGGGTGTGAGCTGGAACCAGTGTGGCCATTTATGTGTGTAAGGAGATTTGGGCATCGGTTTCGAACTTTGGACTGGCTTTTGTATTGTGCGTGTGTGCGCCTCTAATTTATTTCTATTTTATTTTTGGTTTTATACATTTTTACTTTTGTATTATTTTTCTCAAGCCAAGACACTACTCTAAAGACACAAACCATTCAACCAACGGACAGCGATCTTTGCTCTCTTTGTATTTTATTTCTCTCCGTCCATGTTGCTTGTACTTAAGTGTCAGCCACGGTCGGACATTTACAAGGCTTGATCTTGATCGCAATCGCTGCTGCTGCTGCTCTCTCCAGATCGTTTGGTGTTGACATTGTTTGTTGGATTTGGAATGCCAAGCCGGCCAGTGCCCGGCCTATGGATAGGGATGATCATATCGAAATATCACTCGCTAGTTTCAAGGGCCTCTCGAGAGTGGATTCGAGCTCACGACCAATACGACTTCGTGGTTCGTGGAATCATCTGCTGTCATATAATATATGGACTTTAAACCTTATATAATATCATGGGAAGACTCCAAGCCTTGAGAGTTTTCGGGGAACAATCCAGGAACACCGACTTATAAAGTGAATTAGATCTGGGATCTCTTCACTCTACTGGCTGGTTTAGCGCGTCAGTGGATTTGATGCTGCAAAAAGGTGGTAGGAAAAGTTTGGAATCTCTATCTAGTGCAGATCCAATACGATTACGAGAAGTTGTAAATTGCAGAGAAAATTCGATTCTTATTAAATAAAAGGGGCAGTAATGCTGCACAAAAGCTATCATCTAGATCAAACCAAGTTTACTCGTCGCATAGTTTGATTTTAGAACAAGATGGCAAAGTTTGTATGCTTAGTGATCGTCTCCATCCCATTGCTGCTCTTGCTCCTTGGCACCGCAGCAAAGGCCCAACTGGGAAACAGTACAAATGCAACAGCGGTTTTCTGCTTTGGAGATTCAACAGTGGATGCAGGAAACAACAACTATCTCAACACATACTTCTCGATCGCAAGAGCAAATCACACTCCATATGGATGTGATTACGATAATCAAGCTCCCACTGGCCGCTTCTCCAATGCATTAGTCCTCCCCGATCTTATTGGTACAGCCTCTATAATCTTTAGAGTTGACGAAAGTGAGCTAATATTTGGTAATGGTTGTTGTTGATCGATGCAGCGCAATACATTGGTGTTGCTAGAGCTTTTCCGTTTCTCCATCCATCTGCAAATGGAATGAATCTCACTCAAGGTGTTAACTTCGCATCCGGGGGAGCTGCAATCATCGATAAGCTCTCCAGCAACCTTGTAAGAACTCTTATGATTCTTGTAAGAATGTTGCTGATATGGCTCCTTTTCCCCAAGGTATTGCAAACTCCATACACCTTCAGCGTCCAAGTCGAGTGGTTTCGAAATGTCACTCAGAGACTACAAGCCGTGGAAGGTGCCACCGCTGCGGCTTCGCGAATTCGGAATGCCTTCTGCCTCATAAGCATTGGATCCAATGATTTTTCATACAAAAGCATGGACACCACCACCTCAAGCCTCAGCGATGCCGATTTTAGAAGCTTGCTAGTCAACACACTCTCCACTCGTATCCAGGTAATAATAATTGAAATATTAACAATACTAATATTATTAATATTAAAATTTACTAATACTTGGTAATTATTTCCAGGACATCTACAGCATTGGATGCCGGAGATTCATCGTGTCCGCAATTGGACCGCTGGGATGCACGCCCATCACGCTTACACTCATGTGTGGTCCGTACAACGCTACGTGTCGATCGATGTGCAACGAGACGACCAACGGTATCGTCTACGCGTTCGACGTGGCCGTGGAGAATATGCTCAGGAATCTCTCCGCGAGCCTCTCCGGCTTCCGCTACTACTACAACTACGATGCTTTCAACATCACCCGGGACGCCATAAGGAATCCGGCCACATACGGTGAGCTATAGTTTTAACCATTGGCTTGTTATATAATATAGATTCCCTTATTTTCCCAGGATATACCATCGTGGATCGTGGCTGTTGTGGGAGTGGCACCACGGAGATTGGCGATGGCTGCCAGAGCTACTTTGGACTGTGCTTTGATCGCTCCAAATATATATTCTTCGATGCGATCCATCCCGGAGGAAAGCTCATCTCGCTATTAGCCAATAGATTGTCCACGTCGCTCTCGAGCTAGTAGATTTTGTTACTAGACGGAATATACAATATCTTGCTACTTGACGGAATATACAATACTCTCGTTTGGTCCACATTGACGGCGTCTAGAACGCGGAATGTCTGGTGGCATATTCGCCTATATAGCAAAGCATTCACACTGTTCTTTCTTCTTCTCTTTGAATCTTTCTCTTGCGCGTCTCCAGCGGCGCGCCCTGGACGGCGGCGCCTCCCAGTGCATGGATGCTCGCGGCAGCTCGGCCGCGATCCCGGGGAGATTTCTCCAGGTAAGGGAGCGAGAGATCTGGTGCTTGCGGTGTTTAGGTCAGGAGCGCGCGGCAATGGTGCCGCTGCTGGAGCTGGGAGTGAGGAATTGAGCGGAATTGTGCTGGCTTGACCCGGGCGCTGGCGATTCTTCCAGGTGTAGGGTAAATATTTTGATCTGGGGCGAGGTGTAGCGAAGCAATGGGATGCGTTTTCTCGTCTTGCGCCGGGAATGATATCACGAAGCCATCGGATGCTCCGTTCACCACTGTGACAAATGGTAAGTTTTTTTATCCTTTCCAGTGTGAAAAAAACAACTGTTCTTTGCTTGGTTTCCAGGCAACCCTGGTGGTGCTAAAGCAAATGAAGGAGCAAATAGAGCTGGACAAGCTGCCAGAGTCCAACCGATCGCTGTTCCAATGCTTGGCATTGACGAGCTGAAAGAAGCCACCGAGAATTTTGGTCCCAAGTCACTTATCGGCGAGGGATCCTATGGTCGAGTTTACCTTGCGGAGTTGCGAAGTGGTCAAGCTGCGATAAAGAAGCTGGACCAGAATTCACAGCCTGATCAGGAGTTCCTTGCTCAGGTATGGATTTTCAAGCGTTCTACTGTTTTATCCATTCGCGTGGTGCTTCAGGTTTCCATGGTGTCGAGACTAAAAAATGAGAACGTTGTTGAGCTCATTGGATACTGTGTTGACGGGCCACTCCGTGTTTTGGCGTATGAGTTTGCAACGATGGGCTCTTTGCATGACATACTCCATGGTACGTTGTGAGCCTTTTCAAGTTGTTCGAATCTTACTGGTTATGTACCACCAGGGAGAAAAGGTGTTAAAGGTGCTTTGCCCGGTCCGGTGTTGGATTGGGCCCAGCGTGTGAAGATCGCGGTAGGGGCTGCAAAAGGGCTCGAATATTTGCATGAAAAAGTTTCTCCACCACTAATTCACCGTGACATCAAGTCCAGTAATGTTCTCCTGTTCGACGACTACACAGCAAAGATAGCCGACTTCAATCTTTCCAACCAGGCTCCGGACACGGCCGCACGGCTTCACTCGACTCGTGTACTTGGAACTTTCGGCTACCACGCTCCAGAGTAAGCCGTTATAACTTTCGATTCTTCGTCTAACGCTTTTTGGCTTTAGATATGCGATGACAGGTCAGCTCACACAAAAGAGTGATGTCTATAGCTTTGGCGTGGTTTTGTTGGAGCTCCTCACTGGGAGAAAGCCAGTGGATCACTCAATGCCTCGTGGACAGCAGAGCCTTGTAACGTGGGTAAGTAGGCTGTCAAGCTCAGTGGCGGTGCGTGGTACTTAAATGCGTTTTTTGCTCCCGATCGCAGGCCACACCCAGACTTAGCGAAGACAAAGTCAAGCAATGTGTGGATCCAAAGCTGAAAGGAGAGTACCCTGCAAAGGCAGTTGCCAAGGTAAGTTTGCTTCTTTTTCTTTCCTCCCAAGTAGTTTGACACGCGCTTTTCTTCTTTGCATAGATGGCCGCTGTTGCCGCTCTGTGCGTGCAATACGAGGCGGACTTTAGGCCAAACATGGGCATCGTGGTGAAAGCGCTCCAACCTTTGCTCACGGCCCGAGCCGCCCCGGCAGCGGAGTAAATTATTTATTTTCGAGTGCTTACCATCGCTGTCTTGTTCATAGGTAGGCCCTTGGTTATCATTTTGTAAGCATACGTACGACGATGCATTTGATGGCGCGGCTCTTTTATCCTCGGTGAAGTTTGGGTTTCCTAACTGATCCTGTATCTTCCATGTTTTCTACATTGTAGCAGCTGAAAAGAAAATGAATAGCGAGGTGGTTTTGGTTTCTGGATTTACTCTTTGTTTCAGATGGTTCGAGCTCTGGATGAAAACTTGTGCATCCCAGCTCGACATAGTTCTCGCTCTCAGGTTCTTAAGAATGATATTCCAATGTCTAACAAGTTGCTCCAGCATTATAGCAAGCAGGGAAACGTCCAGCAGGCACGAATCGTGTTTGACAGTATCACCGTTAAGGACTCTTTCTCGTGGAACATCATGCTATCAACGTATGCCCGGGGCGGGTGTGTGGAGGAAGCCAGGCTTTTCTTCGAGGACATGCCGAGCAGGGACATGGTTTCTTGGAACGCGTTGCTCTCGGCTTATGCCCGGAGCGGGCATGTTGAGGAGGCCAAGCGGGTCTTTTCCTCGATGCCCAGCTCCAATCTAGTCTCGTGGACGTCGTTACTGGCGGCTTATACGCAGAACGGGCATATCAAGCTTGCAAAGTCGGTCTTTGAGGAGATGCCGCAGAGGGATATGATGGCCTGGACTATAATGCTTACGGCCTTGACGCAGAGATATCTGGTGATGGAGGCCGAGAACGTTTTCTTCAACATGCCCGAGTATAATCTGGTATCCTGGACTGCAATGCTAACTTGTTATTCCCAGAGCGGGCATATTGAAGAAGCAAGTTTGGTTTTTCACGCCATGGAGCAGCGTGACATCGTTGCTTGGACTGCGATGGTGGCTGCCTATGCGCAATCGGGGTATGTCAAAGAAGCTATTCGGATCTTTAGCAAGATGCCGGAGCTTGACTGTGTCACTTGCAGCACCATGATTTGCGTCTACACCCAAGACGCGGACTTTCGCAAGGCCGAGGAGGTTTACAACGCGATGCCGGAGTGGAGCGTCGTGACCATGAACGCGATGCTAAGTTGCTACGCTCAGAGTTCTCAGGTGGAGCGGGCCAAGAGGGTGTTCGACGAGATCCCGGAGAAGAGCTTGGTGTCCTGGAACGCGATGCTTTCGGGGTATGCACAAAACGGGGAGATGGAGAAGGCAAAGAACGTTTTTGATCGCATGGAGGAGAGGGACCTGGTGTCGTGGGACGCGATGGTTTCCGGGTATGCTCAAAACGGGCATGTCGAGGAGGCTAGAAGGATCTTCGACGCGATGCCCGAGAGGAACCTCGTCGCCTGGAACGCACTCTTGTGTGGACTGGCACTGAACGGAAGTGTGGAGGAGGCCGAAGAGCTGCTGCTGAGTAACGCCATGGACGATCGCAACATCGTCTCGTGGACTGCGGTGGCTGTTGGCTATGCCCAAGTTGGTCATCTCCAGAAAACCAGGAGAGTCTTCGACGCTATGCCCGAGCGCGACGCGGTGGCCTGGATCGCCATGCTCGAGACGTATGCTTACAATGGCCGGACGGAGTCGACGCTGGAGCTCTTCCACACCATGGCTCTCACGCAAACTCCAGGAGAAGCAGGCTTCGTTTGGATTCTCCTGGCTTGCAGCCACGCAGGAAAGCTTCGATCGGGGCTCGGCTACTTCGCTTCGATGACGAGAGATTGGAAGTTGGTTCCTCTCAAGCAGCACTTCTGCTGCGTGGTGGATCTTCTCGGCCGGGCCGGGTACTTGGGCGAGGCCGAGGTGCTCGTGTCGGCCATGCCGAGCGATGCCCGAGAGCTGGGGTGGTCGTGCTTGCTGGGAGCTTGCCGGGGACACACCGAGATGGACATGAGCCGGGGAGCTCGAGTGACTAAACAGGTGCTGGGGCTGGACAGGAGGAAAGCCACTCCGTATGTGCTGCTGGCCGATATGTTTCGATCGACGAGCAAACTCTTCCAATTCTCTGCTCCAAATCCACCATTGCTACTCGCTCGCAGTGACAAAGAAGATCGAAGTTCTTCCAAGAACTAAAGTAGAAACTTTGGGCAAGGAGAAAAGCAAATAAAGTAGAAGCTTTAAACGAAGATTCCCTCGCCCTTATGACATTGGCCATAAATGTGTCACGCTGGCGTCTGACGTGTCTGCTACGTTGGATATCGATGAGCCCAGAAAGATTTCTCTCGGCTCCCTCCCTCTCGCACTCTCCGTTGGCGGCTATCTAGCAGGGGAGCAGCGCAGGCGCTAGGGTTTCGCGGCGCGATGGATCATCGCGCTCTTCCCGGCGGTAGACGGCAGCGCGGCTAGCTGGATCAATGCCGCTCTAGCGGGGTTCTTGATAGCCGGATGCGATATTTCGTGCTCTCTGCCGGCATTCTTGGAAGATCCATGGCCGATAGCGCAGCTCCTCCTCCAATCCCACCGCCGCCGCCGCCGCCTCCCGCGAGCGAGGATGTGATTAGCAGGAATCCGCTCTCGGTGGGTGTGATCATCGGGATTTGCATTGGCGTGAGCCTCAGCCTCTTCCTGGCGACGTGCGCAGTGATTTGCGTGAGGCTGCGGCGCGTCAAGCCGGGATTGTTCCGCGGCAACAGCAGCGAGAGGAAGGAGATCGTGCTGCCGATGCGAGTGAATGGAGCCGACTCGAGCACCATCCTCTCCGACTCGGATGTGGGGAATCGATCGCCATCGCAGCAGCAGCAGCCCAGCGTCACTTCTTTTCTAAAAGCCAACAAGGAGTTAAATTACAGCGCTGGGATTCTTCCATTCTCATATAAGTAAGTTCTTCCTATGTGTGTTCTTGCTAAAATTTGCCTCGTCCTTCCTTCTCTTTGGCTGGCTGCGCAGGGAGCTCCAGAAGGCCACCAACAATTTTACTACGCTTGTTGGGCGTGGAGCTTTCGGCCCAGTTTTCAAGGCCGTTCGTCCCACTGGTCCAGTGCTCGCTGTGAAAGTCCTCGACGTGAAATCCAAGCAAGGAGGGCGAGAGTTTCAAACCGAGGTAAGCGGACGAGAATCTCTTTTCCTTGCTTTGCGTAGCTATGTCGCAAGCTCTTTTGCTTTTGCTTTCCCAGGTGCTGCTGCTTGGACGACTCCACCACCGAAATCTTGTAAACTTGGTCGGATACTGCGCGGAGCGAGGCCACTGTATGCTCGTGTACGAGTTCATGAGTGGTGGGAACTTGGCAGAGATCCTTTACAGTGAGTCGGAGTCATGATTTTGCTGCCACTAACGAACTTTATCCAGACGAAGAGCGCGCGGCTTTAAGCTGGAAGCTTCGGGTGAGCGTGGCGCATGATATCTCGAGGGGCATTGAGTATCTTCACGACGGGGTATGATCTTAAATGCGCGGTTGGTTTCTGGTCGATCGATTGATTGACGAAGATCTCGATCTACATTGTTGTGCAGGCTGTGCCTCCAGTGATTCATCGAGACATCAAGTCTTCCAACATACTGCTGGATGCCATGTCCACTGCTAAAGTTCGTCACTGTTACTGGTCCACCAACAAGAAAAAAACTGTTTCTTCGTGCCTGTGTAGGTGGCGGATTTTGGGCTGTCCAAGGAGATGACGTTTGGAGTCCCTACGTCGGCTGTCAAAGGCACTTTCGGCTATGTTGATCCACAGTACCTCTTGACAAACGTTTTTACCGAAAAGAGTGATGTCTACAGTTTCGGGATTCTTTTGTTCGAGCTCATCACTGGACGGAATCCGCAACAAGGCCTCTTGGATTACGTGAAACTGGTACGATGGTTTTCTCCTGGCTTCTTCACAGTACTTTTCTCTTGCAGGCTGCTTTGGGGGTGGAAGGCGCAGACGGCTGGGGAGAACTTGTAGATCCCAGGCTCGAGGGGCATTGCAACTTGCAAGAATTCGGGCAGATAGCTTCCATCGCATTTCGCTGCGTCAACGAAGACCCTCGACACCGGCCAAAGATGCGGGACGTTTCACAGTGGCTATCACGAGTCGGGTACAAAGGTGACGCCGCTTCCGGCTACATCGCCGCCTTAGCACCGGTTCCAGAGGCACATCCGGAGGAGACGGACGTCTCAGATGTGGAGTTTCACGGCTCGCCATCCTAACAAACGGAAGCTCAACGTTTCTCAACCTTTGCTTTCTTGGTGGGAGGGCCCTGCTCGGTCGACTGCTCTGGTTGCGAGTCTTGGGGCTGCTCGGGGACACCACTGGGTGGTGTGGGCATTGGAGGAGGAGGAGGAGCCGGAGGAAGCTGAACCGGAAAGAACAAGAACTGTCAACGGTCACGAACAGGAAAAAGAGACAAGAGGCTCACCTTGCGAAGAACATTTCCCAGTATCTGGTCGATCCGGAGGACTTCCTTGAGATCGACACGGCCGGAGGTATCGCTCTCGTGTTCATTCTCGTCGTCTACATCAGAGCATAGTCAGGACGAGCGACACAAAACAGGAGGTTTGGACAGACCATAGCCAATCTTCTCGAGCTTTGCCGAGACTTGGGAGAAGGCAGCGGAGATGTGATGCACAGCTCGGGCCTAGAGATCAAGCGGGCGGATCATCAGAAGAAGCAGAAGAAAAAACCTCGGGACTTACCACTCTGCTGCAAACAACGCTGTAGAGCAGGGGTGCTTGATAGATATGGCCGTCGAGGATATAGTAGGCCGAGAGATGCGACACTTTGTCCGGGCTCTCGCGCTTTTGCTTGCGGAGGACAAAGAGATTGGGCTCCTGGGCTTCGAGCAGCACGTACTCCACTCCAGTCATCTTCCTGCCACAGCACAAAACGAAGAGAAATCTCTTGCGAAGGAAGAACAAGGCGCTTGATTCTTACGACAGCTGGGTCATGTCGAGGGGATGGACGGAGCGCATTCGCAGCTGCTCGTTGGAGCAAGAGCGATCGTAGAAGGGCGAGAGGACGAAGTAATCGAAGACGAGGTTGCGATCGAGAGGGTATGTGCTGAGCCATAGCTGATCGTGGAAGCTGATACCTGTTTGATCCGTCGGCAATGGTGGAGCAGCGCCTCCCAATCCCTCCGCCATCAAAAACCCTAAAATTTGGGATCTGTTTAGGCCTCTTCCGGTCAGTTTAAAAAAGGTCAACCCTATTCAGCATTAGTCAACGACTGTGTGTTGACTAATGTGTCAGGTAGTAAATCTTTTGGTCGTTGGATCCAACTGTATCGACGGCTTCCTCCTGCGGACGTGGCGCAATCGTCACTGTCGGCCCCATTAAAGATCGCGCGAGAGACCCAGTGTGCTCTAGTCGTGCGGGGGCGAGATTTAGAGGTAGCTTAGGGTTCCTAGCGTTCGCTAGGGCGGCCGGCGAGCGCGAGCTATGGCGCCCGCGAGCTCGGTGGACGCGCCGGCTGCGCGGAGATGGAGCTGCAGAGGTATTGATCGCAGATTCGGCAATGCCTGGGAGAGTCGCCGGGGAGGATCGGCCGCGCTCTAGTACCCGCATTTGGAACAGGAGATGGAAAGCCATGGGAGGAGTGGCATCTAGCTCCATCGGGGCATCGGATGGGACGGTGGAAGAAAATGAAGAGGGAGGGTCAGCAGCACTGCTTCCATGGATGGATCTTAGGTAGAGCGTGAGTGGGGAGATTTCTGGGCAGCATGGTTGCTCATCCCACCTCGTTCCAGGATGATTCCAGCAGCAAGCCGGTCAAGTTTAAATCGGTCTCACAGTTTTACACGTCTTATCAGGCAGAGCCGGCCGTTGACGAGCTCGATGATCCAAGCACGGAGGAGCAAGAGCTCGATGATTCAAGCACGGACAACCACGAGTCAGACTATGTTTCGCAAGAGTCGGACGATGTTTCGCAAGAGTGGAGCGATTCCGAGGACACGGCTAGGCGGCCTGTGAAGAAGAGAAGGATGAGCATCATCCAGAGCTCCTTTCATGCTCCTGCTAAAGGGAAGGAAGAGCAACCGGCGTTTAGGACGTTGGCTCAGCTCTTGGAGCCTCGGCGTAACGAAAGGATAAAGTCTTTCCCTCCCAAGAGAAGGAAGTCGAGCATTTCCAGGGATATCGCTGCCACGAAACTCAAGAGGTTTTACTGCAAGCCCAGGACGAACCGAGCTAAGGGAAGAACTCTTCTCGAGGGGAACATCGGGCTCATTGTTGACCTAGTGTTCCAGTCGGTTGACGATGGCAACAGCTCAAACCATCCTCGTAAGGACGAGCCTCTACCGTCTTTACCAACGGAAGAGAGCATAGGCAACTGTGGTGTACCCGTGAAGCTGGCAGATGCCGAGGACTCGGTGACGCAAGAGGTTTCGACGTCGTTTGCTAGCATGGAGGACGAGCAGAAGCTTGTGACAGTTAGAGATCCTGAGTTCTTGACAATTGGGCGGCTGTTTGCTAGAGGTAGTGCAAAGTCTTCTGATCCATCGTTCCACGCACAGCTAAAATGGAGGGAGTAAGTTGTGAAGTTTAGAAGTTTTTCGTGATCCAGACCTTTTTGTCCCTGCAGGATTGATGTTGGAGGAACTGATCCTTTGGTCTTGGTGAACCATAAATGCAAGGTGAGGATTCAATTTTCCTGACTTCGATTCTAAAGCTACCGACCTTACAGGTGTACAACCCCTTAGAAAGGAAATGGCTTGCCGCGTCTGTTGTCCAGTATGATCAACTCAGCAAGAAACATCAGGTTCTTCACCTCTCGGGCCTCGGGCTGATAACACTGACAAATGCGTCTGGGCCTCAGGTTCATTATGATATACAAGGTGAAGTGTGGCAGTTTCTCTCTAGGGAGCGCATTGCGTTTTATATCTCCCTCGACGAGAAGATGAGGTTAATCACTAGCTACGACGAGCGAAGTTCTTTAGAAGAAAGAAAGGCAAAAGCAGAGGAGTTGTTGGTCTTTGCTGCAAGCACGGAAAGTTACGACAGGTTATTTCAGCATGGGGATATTGTATGGGCCGAAACTCCAGGTTTGCTTTCTAACGATAGAATCTTCTCTTTTTTTTCCTTGATCTGAAGGAGTATATTGCAGGCTATCCAATGTGGCCAGCATTTGTCATGGACGACCAGCACGCACGGCTGTGCAACTTAGAAATTTCCACTGGTGAATTGCCAGTTCATTATTTTGGAACATATGAAAGTGCCAGGTTAGCTTTGACGACGCAGGCTCCCTTCTTCTGGTCTCAGGAGTACTTGTTTCAGGATTATAATCGGCAGGATAGTCAAGTTTTCGAAAGGGATCCTTGATGATTATCACTTGAAATGCAGCCGCATATCCTTTGACAGGGGTCTGGAGGAAGTCGACAGGTAGCGGTTCCAGCTTTTCATACCTGTGAACTCACCTCAGCATATCCAGGTATTACAGGGAACAGAAGCTACCTCCTGGGATGACTTACTTGCAAGAAGAAGTGGTCACCACGTTGACGCAGGCAATTCATTCAGATTCAGAAGAAAAATCTGAAAAGGACGAAGATTTCGTTGGTGACGAGAGAAAGCACAAAGTAAGGAAGAGCCTTGAGAGCATTTCCAAATGCCCAATCAAGCTGGGCTCGCTTCAAGTTTTAAACTTAGGTACGCGTCTATATACAAAGTTGATCAACGTTGATCCTGTTCTTGCTTGCTTGCAGGGAAAATTGTAAAGGATTCGGAATACTTTCACGACCAGCACTATATTTGGACCGAAGGCTACACTTCTATCAGAAAATTCTTCTCAATAAAAGGTTGGCATCGTGTTTCTCTGTAAAAAACTTGACATGTGATGTGCTGTGCTAGATCCAACTAAGACGGTGATCTATAAGATGGAGATCTTGAGAAATCCAAATGCGCGCACCATGCCTCTCTTTCGTGTTACTCCGGATGACGGGGAACAGGTATCCGGCTCTTTTTATTGCTTTGGACAAATAATTTGCTCATGTCACTTTCTACTGCGCGTAGCATAGGTGGAAGGTCCAAGTGCTGCAGCATGCTGGAAGAAAATATTAAATCAGCTGCACAGAGCCAGAAAGAAACTTAATTTGAATGGCCAGCATGATAAGAAACGGCAATTCTATCGATCGGGAGCCGCAATGTTTGGCCTCTCGAATCCTCAAATCTCTCGCCTCATTCAGGTAGAAGCTTTTTCGTGTATGACAATATTTGTCACTGTAACTTTGTATGCAGGCTTTACCTTATGCACGGGTATGTTCAAAGTTTAAAGTTTGGAGGGAAGCTACTACATTTGAGGATTTAGATGCCATTCTCCCGGCCGGGTTCAAGCATGTCGAAGTCGAGTGGAAGCATCTGGATCATTGCAGCGTCTGTGATACGAACGAGGTACAGCAACTAAGGTTTCTGATGACGTTTCTCACGCGCACTTTGCAGGAGTATGAAGGGAACATTCTTTTGCAATGCGACAAATGCAGAATGCTGGTAGCTGTTTGAGTTTTCTTGAGCTTTGATTTGTTTTTTTTTTTATGATGTGCCCTGACAGGTTCATCTAAATTGCTACGGAGTGCTAGAGCCACCGGGAGATTCTTGGCTTTGCAACCTCTGTGACTCGAACGCTCCCAAGCGTTCCCCTCCTTGCTGCCTGTGTCCTATCAAAGGTAAGAAACAAGTTTGCAGTCTTGACCAGCTAATCTCTTTCCACAGGAGGTGCAATGAAACGGACAACTGATGGGCGCTGGGTTCATCTCGCGTGTGCATTGTGGATACCTGGTAAGGAATGTTTTGTCTATGGTTCAACGTGGCCTCATGACGATTTCGCCAGAAACCTCTTGTGTTGATATGGATCGAATGGAACCGATTGAAGGGATAAGTTCAGTCAATAAGGTTAGCTCATGGTCCTTTGAATCTGTTTTTAATCTCCACTGTTCAGGAACGTTGGAAGCTTACTTGCACAATTTGCAGTGTTCCATATGGTGCCTGTATCCAATGCGCTGACCACCATTGCCGGGTTTCTTATCATGCGCTTTGCGCTCGAGCAGCAGGATTCTGCACAAAGGTATGACTCCTTTAAGCTTTAGCCTTTTGTTTAAAATCTTCGTATCTAGGTTTTGGAGGGTCTTCGCCGGAAAAGGAATAGAACAACTGGTGTCCAGGAAGTGGAGCGATCCGTGCAACTTGTTTCGTATTGCAAGAAACACATGCACAGCAAGATGTCGACAAAAGCAACTTTTGATACTTTTGCCACCCACGAGGACGACTATGCATACGCTTCGCACAATCCATCTGGCTCTGCTCGTTCTGGTAAGATGGTATACCAGAGCTATGGCTTTTTAACTCTTTGTCCTTTCAGAACCATATAATGTGGCTATCCGACGAGGCCGTCGTGAACCTGACCACTACTCGGCAGCTCTGGCCAAGCGTGCATTTTTGGTGAACCGGCCACACATTGTTACCGGGTGCCTGCGCAATCCTTACAAGAGAGTCAAACGCCCGGCCCCCGTTCCTATCGGCGTCTCCAAGGTTCAACCGTTTCTAACAATCAGGCCAAGGTCCGCTCCAGACGGTCGGCAAGTTGCTCTTACGGTGTCCGAAAGGTTCTACCAGATGAGAGCATCACTACATCGTAGATTAACATTCGGTATGATTTGTGTCTCCAAATTCTATGGGCTGACTAACCTTGGTAAACCTGCAGGAAAGTCTGCGATACACGGATGGGGTCTATTCGCTAAAGAACCGCATGGAGCAGGAGATATGGTAAGGTGGAGTGACATGCTTGTCCAGTGATAACTCCATGCCATTGTGCAGGTTATAGAATACGCAGGAGAGATCATCCGGCCTACTGTTGCGGACGTACGTGAGAAGAGATGTTATAACTCTCTAGTGGTAAGTGTGATAGTCCACCAATCCACTCAAGAGTACTCAAGAGTTGCTGACAGGGCGCTGGTACATACATGTTTTGTATCGACAATGAGCGAGTCGTGGACGCCACTCGAGCGGGCAGCATTGCTCATCTCATCAACCATTCTTGTGAAGTAAGTAATGCTTCTAAGCCTGTCGATGCTTACCCGCGTTGATGCAGCCGAATTGTTATTCTAGAGTAGTGACTACGAATGGAAAGGAAAGGATTGTTATCTTCGCAAAGCAGGACATCGCTGGAGGGGACGAGGTGACATACGACTACAGGTGTGATTTGTTTGTGATCACTGAAACGCGGGCTAACATGTAGCGCTCCTGGTTGCTAGATTTACATCTATTGGAGATCAACTTCCGTGTCACTGTGGAACTGCGGGATGTAGAGGCATTGTGAATGTCATGGACGAGGAGGATGAGTCCGGGAGGATACTTGTCCGCACCGCGGAACTGACAAAGCTGCAATAAGGCTATTTGTAAGTACACATACATATATTTTGTTGGATGGGAGTTTACAACTGTTTATATGCGCAGAGGAAACATTCTTGGGTTCTACCTATAGTTACACAGCTATATCACAGGCAAAAAGCACAACAGTTTTGACATTGGTTTACTGTAAATAAAAAGGTGTACTTGTAATGACTTGCAGGAGGAAGCTTTATGCTGATTCCCTGCACACTTTGCAGTAATACTTGTGTGGTGAACTGCAGAAGGTGTCGCAGAACTGCACGAAGATGGCCCTCTTCTGCGCGCCGTTTTCCAGGTTCGTGAAGCTCGCTTCTATTTCGGACTCACTCGGAATCCCGGGCTTTCTGCAGCTCTTGCACGCAACGGCGTTGTAGGTGATGCTCCCGGGGTGGCAATAGAGGCTACACTCACGCGAAGTGTAGGAGTAAGTCCTGGACGAGAAACGGACTCGAGCTACCGAGGCCGTCGTCTCGGCCTCGTCGGCGGCTGTGCCACCGGTAAGGAGATTGCAGAGGATGCAGAGGAGCGAGTTGGAGAGTTTGCAGTTGGAGTCGCAGAAGAGGTTGCAGATTTTCGAGATAGAGATCGTGGGGGGTCCGTTGCAGTGTTTGCAGTACTCGGTGACAGTGGCATCTTCGGAGAAGACCTTGTTGGAGCTGGAGGGCCCGTCGCAGAGGACTACGCAGAAGCTAGCTGCTGGTGCTGGAACTCCTGCTCCTGCAAAGACTGCTGCAGCAAAATCAAACCAAGGGGTAAGTGTTTTATCCATCTTGAGACATTGACACGGTCGATTTCTTGGCTGATTTAGAGCAAACCTGAAGCTGCATTGAGAAGAAGAAGCAAAAGCAGCACTCCCATATTCGCGCTAGAGGACGTCGAAGGGAAGAAACAAGCTCGGCTTATAACGAACTTAGATTTGGTTATATCCGCGTGGATGCGGACAGGTGATTTGGTGGAAGCGCCACTAGCTAAACATTCTCGACTGCTGGAAGCGCACGCTTTCTTAAAAGGCCCCCTCGTTTCCATACGATCACCATCACCAGATTATATGAAATCACACATTCTCTCAGAAAAGAAGTGCACAAAGAAGTTGTGGGTTTGGAGGAAGAGCTGTTGTGTTTGCGCTTTGAGCCACTTTCTAGCGATTAATCTCAAGCGCTTGTATGGCGTTCTTGCTGTCAAAGTACTTGGAGAACTGCTTGCCAAGGTACGTTCCAAACAGGCTCTCTTTGTAGCGCGGCGGCTCACTGTTGCGAAGGAGGAGCTCTGGGATGGGCGCCACAACCACGTCCTCGGAGGGCTCGAAAAAGGTGACGATCGAAAGCCTTTGCGAGCTCGAGTTCACGGCAGCGCGATGCTCGGCGCTCTGAAACTTCCCATTGCTAAAGATCTGCAAACACTCAAGCAAGCTCAAAGTTGACGAACCAAGGTACATATACCTGGAGTTGGTCACTGATGTTCACCACGAATGAGCCCCTGACCGGCTTCACCGAGTACCACTCCCCGTTTCTCTTCACCTGGAGCCCTCCGGCTTGGTCTTGCATCAAGATCGTGAAGCCACCAAAGTCAGAGTGTGGGCTCATCCCGACGGCAAGATCAGGCCTCGGGCAAGGTGGATAGTAATTCACTCGTATGGAATTCATCCCCTCTCCAAATGCCTTGATGAGGAAGTCGGGCTCTAGTCCCAAACCCTGGGAGAGTGCTCGTGAGATTGTCTTACCCAGTGCCAGAACTTCGTCAAAATACTCCCTTGCAGCCTTTTCATAAGAGGGTGGCTTCTTTGGCCAAGGATGGTCGTCACCGTAAGGTGGGAAGTAGTGCGTGAGATTGTCGTGCCAGTCCCAGTGGGCCTCAGTGGAGGGCACAAAGCTGGTGCAAAAGCGAAGCTTGAGCTTGTAGTCCTCAGAGAAATACGCCATCTTCTCCTCCAGAGGTAAGTTGAAGAACTCCAGGCCGGCGCTCATCATGGCGTCCATCAGAGCCAGAGGAACGCTGTGATTTACCACCTTGAAAGAACATCGATTCAAGTTTATGTCATGCTCTAGCTTTCTAAGTTGCTGCTACCTGGAAGAAGCCCCACTCCTGTGCCGCATTTGCTATGTCTTGGATGATCTTGCTTCTGCTTTCGCCATGGATCTGGGAGAAGTCAATGAGGGGAATGCCTGCCAGGGGAGTGTTGCATCTCACGCGGGCAATCTCGGGCTTGATGTACTTATCTGGTAGACTTTGATCGTGAATTCGTCCATTGGAGTTCTCCAGAAGCTCCTTCACTCCTTGTGTGGGTCTTGCTACTTCTGCTGCCTCGGCCATTTCCCTAGTTTGCCCTCTCGCGTTTGCTTTGATATTCAATCACGCAATATCTTCCAGCTCACCAAGATCAGTGGCATGCAAAACGTTGTGCCACAACAAAAAATCTGACAGACAATGTCTCTTCATTAGTATAACTATTTCTCAAAAGATGCTTGCTTGCTTGTGCATTACTCTAATCGAAAGAAAGAAAAAGAAGTAGAAATGCTACAACCACTCAGTCAAAACTCGGATGCGTTCCCTTGTCTTTTGCCAATGTATCTCTCCAGCTGCGGGAAGTGTCAGTAAAAACTTGTAGCGATCTCTCGGACAAGTTTAAAGAACGCTGGAAGGAGCAAGACATTTTTGTACTGGCCAATTTTGTTTTGTTGTTGTTTGCGCCAGAAAACTCCGCACAGCGGGCGGGAGAGAAAATTCGCCCGGCCCCATTCCATCCACAGTCACCAGCAACGACAAATTTTGGTGAGAGATCGGCTGAAACTGAAACCAAAACAAGCATGGAGCCAGCCTCGTATGTGTGTCCTTCAAGAAGAGGAAAGCTCTTGTGTTTTCTCCGCCACCTTTTCCTCGTTAGATTTCACACCTCCAATGGAGACGCGTCTCTCAACCAGGAAAAGCTGGCCCTCAAATGATTTTTAGAAGACAACAACAACAAGATCACTCTCTATCTCTTCCCTTTTTCTTTTCGTCTTTCTTTTCTTGGTTCTCCCTTCTCTCTATAGGTGATGATAATGTTAGAGTGTGGTCCCCTTTGGTGACTTGTCGTGTACAATGCTAGTTCTTTTGCACTGGATCTTGCAAGGATCTTAGCTCAGAGGACGAGTTTCGTGGTGAGGGACCATGTGAATTTGAGTACGATATCTGCTTTTGTGCGGCTGTGTTCCTTTTCTCTTTCCTTTATTTTGTTATTTTGCCAAGGAATATAAATCTCTTGAACATGGATGTTGACAAGGGTGTATATAGGCGTTTGTGTGTGGGGGTTTATATCTCAACCGCATAGAAAATGGCTTTCTGTTTGACAAGCTGCGTGATTCCAGCGCTCATCGTATATGTGTCTCTGGAAGGTAGCATGATTTTTCTCATACTTACCGGACAGACATGAATATGTGTTGACTCGCCAACCAAATGTCTAAATGTCGCCTTGTTTCCATACAGGGAGTCCTCCGCGAAAGACTTGTACACACACTTATTAAAAATTCAGAACAAGCTTTAAGAAAGCGGAAGTTGAGGCAGGTTTTACTCTACATAGTTGCTCAATATAGTAGTACTCTGATCATCAAATAAATCATCAGATGCCCTTAGAACTTGACATTCTCTTCTCACCCTTGTTTAGCCTTGAGAATCTCTACACCAGTTTTTTAAGCAGTTCCATGCATGAAAACCATGGTCCACTCCATTCTTTCACTCTCACTCCCTCTCTCTTCCTTCTGGTGTGTAGTGTGTCTTCCTTTGCAGAGACATAAAGCTTTTGTCATGCAGTCTTAAGAGCACAAAAAGATGGCGAGGCTAACCGACAAGCATCTCTGAAATAGAGAAAGGTGGTGGCTAGAAAAAGAAAAGTATAACATGTTTAGGAGGTAGAAAGCAGTGAGGCAATGGGTGAAATCAATAATTGAAATCCAAGGAAAACATAAGGGAAGAAAGCAGAGGCTGTGCAAGGGGGGTCCTTTGTTTTGCACCTCTGCTCCATGTGTGGACTCTACACTTGAGTGTCAGGACAAGGGGGCAATGCTGGTGATATTTCTCAATCCTTGTGCCAGTGGTGTGCACCTTGTAAATATGTTGGAGCTGCTGCCAGCCAGCCAGCCAGACATCCATCCATCCATCCATTCCATCTCCTGGAGGCAGCCAGCCAGCCCCAGCCCATGAAGCCTGATCAGCAGCAGCAAAAAAAAGCCAAGGGCAGCAGCACTGAAGCAAGAGAAAAGCAAAGCAAAGCAGAGCAAAGCAAAGCACACCCCCTCCCTCAATGTTGATTACATATGAGTAGTGAGCAGTAGAGTGTACTGAGTGACACTGCAGTGGTTGTGCTTCTTTTTATTTGTTCTTTTTGTGCAGTGCACCTCTCTTATCTGTTTTTACAAACAAAAAACAATTTTGATGAATATTTTTTGTTTCTTTGAACAAGAGAGTATTTAAAGAGCACTTTGGCCTTTTCCCTTCTGAGCTCTGAGACCCTGATTATGAGGTGAATGCCAAATGGCAAAGAAACAGGGGAGAATTTGATTGAGACATTGGGCAAACTTATTTCTATATAATTTTATTTTGTCTTCCTTTAAATTAAAAACTTGCCTGCTACTGCTGCTGCAATTCAGCCAAAAGCTGCATGTGGATGAATGAATCTCTCTCTGCTTTCTGAATTGGGGGCTATCTTCAGTCTATCCAAACTGTCTGCTTGCGAACAAACCAGGCCCCAACCCTACATAGCTCTCAATTAGAGCCATGATATCAATCAAGGATCATTAAATAGTGGAAACTCCATGTGATATAAGAACCTTCACATTCTCTGCTCTCTTGGTCCTTGTTGCTAAAACATTTTAAGGTGAACATGGTGGTGGATCTCTCTCTCTCTCTCTCTCTCTCTCTCTCTCTCTCTCTCTCTCTCTCTCTCCAGGGGAAGTAGTGATTGAGTGGTGTTGTCTTGAGCATTATAATGGCTCTAGCGATGGCGGATGAATACACGTGAGGGGATTCTCGAGAGAGCGCACGGCACGGCACGCAGGTCCGTACCAGCAAAAGGCCACGGGCGCCACGTGGGCCCCGCGTCATGGAGGAAGATGATAATATATTACAGAAAAGAAAATTATTATAAAAATGCAAAAGAAGAAAAATCATGCCGAGTGATTGCATCATCGGTGAACAAGGAAACGGCGGTGGAGTGGTCCAAATCTCGGAACCCCGTTGCGGGCTTTGGATTCGGACGGGGATTTGAGGTTTTGTGGCCAAGTCCATCCCACCGGGAGATCTGATTTTGTGCGTTTGTCAACTAGTTCCTCAAAGGCGAGCTGGACTTGGAAACAAAGAAAGCAACATGTGTATTGTATCAAAACCTGGATAATCAAGCATCCTGCGAGGAAGTATAGTTCCAAAGCAAGGCTCAAAGATGGTTAGCCCTGATCGTTGTGTCTCTTATACTTTCTCCAAGGCCTAAAGTTTCTTATCCCCCTGTGGTTGTAACGGTTCTCTCTCGAGAATCTATTTAAGGTTGGTGGGATGGGATCTAATCTAAGCTTTGATTCTTGCCAACTTGTTGTCTCCCACTGGATCCCAAAATCAATAGAACTATGGCCTGCTCAGCTAGCATACTTTTTTGTATTTGTGTTGTCCTCCAGAGATCCAAGTCTTGAAAAACCACCATCTTCTTCTCTTGTCATTTTCAAGCTCTAGGCTTCAATCAATCACTCCAAACCTTCGATAGATGTGAGCAGTGACAACGAAGACAATGTACAACTGTATAGCTAGCCTTTGATTATTGCAAGCTTTTATACTATGGAGGAAAAAAGAGAAAAGGGGCAAAAAGCAAAGAAACGAAGCTGTAAGATGGAAAACAACAATAGTTGAAAAATGTAGGTGACATGTTCATTCTCCAGCTTGTTTTGTTGGGGTTGGGGAACAAGTTGCAACTCCTCCATATGCTTTTCCTAGTTGCAAGTTATGCATTTTTATATGTTTGTACTCAGGCCCACCAGTTGGATTGTGGAGCCTTTTGCCCTGGGGCTTTCCTGGCTCCAGCTATTTTCTTACAGCCATTGCAATACTTGCCAATTGGTGGTGGAATGGTGGTGGTGATGGTGGCGGAAAGAAAATGGAGATGATCGTTACAACTTGGACGTGACTGAAAAGCTGGTGGGCATGCAAATGGGGCCTAGGGCATTTGGCATGCTTTGTTGTGTGTTGTTGTGTGAGGCACACTTTTCCGCTTAGATCCGATAATTTGTAAGATTGGATGTTAAAACTGCACCGCGGAGAGGACAAGCCCTTGTGTCACCGGAAAACAGGAGATTGGATTTCTATGTCCCGTTGCATTCAACACGTTTCCTTGTTTCCGGCAGTGTTTGTGTGCCGGGGAAACTGAAAACTACAAACAAACCTCCATGCACTGTTGAAGTTTCTCTGTTGCTATGTGGCGGGCACCTCTTTATCGTGCGTCGATTTGGCTTTGGCTTTGGCTTTGGGGCGAAGCAAAGAAAGAAATGGAACACCACCCAAGCCTCTTTGCTTATGCTTTGTACGTGTCCCCATGTAGGAGACACTGCCACCTCCTTGTCACCTTGTTTGTACCAGTGGGACAATGCTTAAAAAGAGTAGCTGAAATGCTGGACTGGAATGGCGGGGAATTGGTGTTCCGGCCCAGTGTTCCCGCTTAGCTGCACCTAATCATTGTCTCCATGATTGTAGGAGCCCGGCAAGCAAGCAAGCAAAGCCCAAAGCAGCTAGGAGAAAAGAAGGCCTCTCGTATAGAAAAATGCGTTGATCTTCTGTGATCTACATATTGCGTGAGGAAAGAGAAAACCAAATCACCTTGTGGGGTAGAAAGAAAGACTGGATATTTGGACGCATGGAAGAAGGGGAAAAAAGGGGGAGAAGTACAAAGAGGATTGAATCAGGAACGGGCAGCCTTTGTAATACAGCGAAGAAATGCCTGACTCATTCCTGGCACTCGTGTCTGCAAATGCCAAAAAAACACCAACAAAAAACGCGGAGTATATTTACCCTAACCGAGAAGCGAATATGCCGGCATGCACATTCCGTTTTACAGCTTTCCGTTATTTGTCGGCCGGTAAAAGCCTTTTACCGTCAGATCACTGACAGGTGTGTCAGGGCGGCACATGGCGCTTTAAAGGTGGGGCCCCCTTGCCCTAACGCCGTCAACCGGAACGGCGTCAACTGGGGTGGGCCCGGCGTGCACATGCGCGTGACTAAAGGTCGCCCTTCAAACTGACGTGCCAAAGGGACGCCTGTGACAGCCGTCAGTCAGGGGCCCTGACGGCCGTCAGTCAGGTCCGTGTTGGGGCCCACTCCCCCATGTGTTTAGACGTCGTCGGTGCGTCCTTGCGTTACACGTGGCCCGCTCCCACTGGCCAGGCGTTTTCCCTCCGATTGCAACGTGTTTGGATATTTCAAAAAAGAGAAAAAGTATATAATAGCTTTTTCTATAAAAAAAATTCCCTGTTTTTTTTGTTTCTAGTATTACCTTCCATGGGGATGGAAAGACAGGTAGACCGTAGACGACGTGAATGGCTGTTTTTGGTGGTGCAATAATAGCCGGAGAAGCAAAGGAGCTCCCTCGAGAAATACCCGGAGAATCTGCGTGTCGGGGCTTCCGTACAGGCACAAAGTCAAGGCCAAGAACAGCGAGAGGCGCAACGCAACGCAACGCAACCACCAAACCTGAGAGCCTGCGAGCCTGCGAGAATTTCCAGCTTCCAGCCCTGGGATCGTAATCGAAATCAAAATCAAAATCACCAGGGCGACGCAATTGCAAATTCCGCAAAATAATGGTGCCTTCCACACAAATAGTGACACCAACCAGAACAAGGATAAGAGGAACAGCCCTGTGAGTGCATATGTGTGTGTACGGAAGCCACCAGAGACAATCTAATCCATGCTGTCGGCCTTGGAATGACTGTGGCCCCCAGTAATCGGGATTAAAAGCCCGCGCCAAAGTACCTCTTGTCTCCCCGTACCGTACCAAAACGTTGAAATTAACAGGGTTCCCTTCCATTCCTCCTTCCAAGTTCCAATTCCATTCCTGGGTTTGGGAAGGATTAGCCATCTGATTAACTCTAATATGTTTGGCATGGCAGGAATGGTACTTTGATGTGTGTGATGTTATATTAATGGAGATTGAATGGCAAATGTTGGGTTTTCACGAAACACGGCAGGTGGCCATTCAATTCAGGCATTTGTGTGAGCCACCTGACTGACGGTGCCGGGCGGGCGGCAGTTCACATGGCGCGCGCATCCTGGCCGTCCGTCCCGGAGCTGCGGGCGATCCCGGCCGTTGGTGCCCTGGCACCCGAAGTTTCCAGCGGCAGCCGTGCGGCCTCTTTTCAACCCCCCAATTCCGACTTCGTGTGTTCTTACACTGGTAAATCAGCAGTAACTGTGCCTTGCCGGTGGGGCTGCCAGGCTTTTGTTTTTCTTCGTTTTTATGATTTTTCTCATTTTCAGATAAATTAAAGATTCTTTGGAATTTTTAATGGTAAAAAAAAAGGGTAAAATGTACTTTTTTTTATGAGGAGGGACTCTTTTACCCTTGCAGTCAAAATCGGACTGGACTGCCATTTACTGCGGGTGTTGAAATATGCGTCAGAGGGTCGCTTTATCCCTACACGTCACCCTTGCTCGTGGTAAATAGGGGATTCACCCTTTTATCGCTCTCGCTCGCCAGCGCGGTAAAGACATGTCACTTTTACCACGTCATGCATCTTGGCAGGTAAGGTAATAGACTTTGCAGCAGTGAGGTGGTGGTGGTGGTGGTGCTGCTGCTGCTAATTAGCAAAATTTTCAACATTGGTAAGTTATGTCCCAAGAACACCTTTCTCGCCACCTTTGTATGCCTTTGCCTTGATTTCGCAGCTAGAAGGAGAAGGAATATGTACACATCCAGGGGCTTAGATTCGAGCGATTCAATGTTGTGTGAGTGAGCATGAATGAAAGATTCCTGAGGCTCTTATGATTTGTTTGGAATTCTAAGAAGGAAAGTTCACGGGAAGAGGCATTTTGGTGCAGGGGCGCCCAAAAGACAAAGAGAGCGCAGCAAATACCACATGAGGATTCGCCTGGCATGTTGGCAGAGAGCAGCAAGCGGAAACCAGAAGGGAGAAAAGGGGCTTGCTGCTGCGGTGAGGCTTGTGAGATTTCCACGGGAGTCATAAAAGAGGCGCCAAACTTTGATGGCGGCCCAAAAAGTTGGCCGAGGCCCTCGAGCCTGCGTACTTTTTGTGCAAGACCTCTCCTCCCACACAATTCGAGTGCCGGGACTGGAGCAGATGTTTCTTCTCTATGAATGCGATGAATGTGATCGAATGAATGAATTGCTTGCTTCCCCCACCTTACTCACCTTTTGGTGGAGTACTATGTTATGGAGTGATAGCACTTCTTCAAGAGGAAGTGTGCGCTGGGATTGCATGGAGGAGGAGGATCTATAGGCCACCATGAAGCGTGGAAGCAAACAAACAAAACAAGCGTCATTCAATTCCTGCTCTGATCTCTCTCTGATCAAGTTATACTTGAGGCCTGCAGCTGTTCTTTCTCACTCTACGGTTTGGTCCAAGCTCCAAGCTTTTGGTCTCTAAATGTGGGGAGGCTTCTAAGCCCAATTTGGCAGCGGGAGCCAGCCAAACCTGACACACGCCCCCTTCCCGTCTCCATTGGACACACTAGGCGTAGGAGAGGAGGTACACAAACTTTGTGCATTTGTAACGTGTTCTTGGCCGCGGGATTAAGGCGGATTGGAGGCGCGGGTTGGCGTCCGGATTGGAATAAAATAAGGGAGCCAGTGTTGTCAACCAGCACTTGGACAGAAAAATCTCCCCAACTCCCCAAAACAAAAGAAAATAAGATAAAGCAAGGCAGGCAATTAGAGGAGAATCAGCTGCTCTCTCCCTCTCTCCCAGCCGTATAGCGTACCAGCCCACTCTAATCCCCAGGTTTTATTAGTTGAATCAGCCATATTTATGGATTTCCTGATCCCACCATGATCAGGATGAGCTGCAGATTTGCAATGTTGGAGCCCCCTACTCCTCCCCTCCTGTTGGTTGCAGCTGCAGCAGCTGCTAGACCCCACTAAACACTATATAGGCCCCCTTTGCTCTTTCACCAGGATCCTGCTGCTGCTCCTCCCCCAGTGAGCACACCACTGTTGCTAGCTCCAGGGCTGCTTCTTCTGCTTCTTGCTCCCATTTTGTGTCCATCCTATCTATCAATCTACCTGTTGCTGTGTGCATGGATGCTGTTTTGTCCCTCTGCCTGGACTAGCACCTAGTAGAAAGTCTCTAGCCAAGTGGCTCTTCTTTTTCTTGTCCAGCTCTGAGAGAGAGAGAGAGAGAGGGGGGTGAGAGTGAGAGTGAGAAAGAGAGACTCCTAGTCCTCCTTGGTTGCTTCCTCACACACACTCTCACTCACTTGTTCATTTGCCCTCCCTGAGGTCCTCTCTCTTTTCTCACTCACACGCTCCTAGAGTTACACGCTTGGTCGCTCCTTCCACACTGGGTTTAACTCGCTCACTCACTCGCTTGCTCCCACACACTCTCTCTCTCACACACACACACACACACACACTCACTCTTGCAGTGACACAGTCCCCAGCAGCAGCAGCAGCAGCACAGGCAGTGTGCCTCTCTCTTCACACTAAAGTGTTGGGAAGGTCTCTCTCTTAACCAGCAGTAGTGCTCTACTGCTTCTTAGTCCGCGTCCTTTGGGAACAGCAGCAGCAGCCAACAGGCGAGCAGTAGCAGAAACAGGAGCAGAAGCAGCTGCAAGCAGGCAGGAGCTGAACTGAAACTGAGCGAAGTTAGTTTGCTTCTCTCTTTTTCTCTCCTCTCTGTGTGGGAACTGTGGGAAGGACTGGTGCTGCACACATTAGTAGAGGAATGAGAGGATAGCACTAGTTACTACTTCTTACCTTTGGGGGCGTGAGCTTTTCTTCTTCTTCCTCCTTTCAATCTTGCAGCTCAGTTCGGCTCAGCTCAGGGCCTGACGGCCCTCATTGCCCTCGGGAATTTGAGCAGCGACAGGATTCCTTCTCCTCATTCTTCTCGTCTCCCTTTTATCCCTCCACATTCCTGCAGTTTTGTCTGCCTGATGTGTGTGAGGTGAGAAGCAGCCACCTTTTAGAGCACTCGACAGTACTTCTTACCTCCACTCTCACACGTAGATAGATATCTCTGGATGGCTGCTGCTGCGCACTGCGTCAAAGTCGACCACTGCTCCAATTCAGCTTGATTTCTCTCCCAGTCCGCTCCCCCTTGTTCTCTTCCTTTCTCCGCTGCCGCTGCGGAGCCTGAGCACTGGCAATCGAGCAGCACTGGAATGAGAACTCGCCAGAAGAAAGTTAAGATCAAAGATCGCAGCGTTTCAGCACCGGCAATATATATGTTTGTGCAGCAGGCTACTGCGGCTTGATTGCATTGCCAGATCTGCGACGAGTTTCCGAGAGCAAAGGCTCAAGAGCAGCAAGCAGGATATATACAGCCTGCACGGCAAGAGATCGAGCAGAGTCAAGGAAGGACAAAGCAGACAAATGGGTACCTGGAATTAAGGCGTATTTCACTGCACATTTCCATCCATTTCATCCATAGAGGTATATGGTTGATTAGCCTGCACAATCAAAAGAAAGTTAGAAAGACAAAAAAAAAAAGGAAAAAAGAAAAAAGAAAAAAGGAGAAGAGAGAGAGGGAGGACAAGAAGAGAAGCAGGAGAAGAAGAAAGAGAAAAGAGTTAATGGACTTGCTTCACCAAAACTCATCTTCTCCTGGCCTTGGCATTTGCAGCAGCCTTGGCGTCCTCTCCCCGGATAACAGGATGCCATCCAGCTACAACAGCAGCGGTACAAGCTCCGGCCCACTCTCTCCTAATCTTTCCTCGATGAAGCAATGCAGATCCAGCTCCGATGTCGAAGTCGACGCCCGGGACGATGGCGGCCCGCTCAAGCTGGCCCGCAAGGACTCCTTCTCATACTCGAGGCCTTCAGCAGCGGAACAGCACCAGCAGCACCAGCACTCCCAGCAGCAGCAGCAGCAGCAGCAGCACGTTGGCAAGCTCAACATGAACTCTGGTGGCGGAGGTGGTGCTCCTGCTGCTGCTGCTGCAAATAATAATAATAATGGACCAGCTGGAAGCCACTCGTTTTCAGGAGATAATGGTGGCAGCCGTATCGCCTGCTCTCCCACAAACTCTTGCTTGTCCGATGGAGTACTCGTCGCAAGTGACGCTGCTGCTGCTGCCAATCTCATGGGAGGAGACACCCGGATGCTGAGGAGCGATGCAATGGCCAGCCCCGGCTCCAGTTACAATCTCGCTGCTGCCAACTCCAACATGAGGCCTTTCTCGTATCAATCGTATCAGTATCCTGGAGCTTCCGGTGAGTCCACTGCCTGAATTGCCTGCTTCCACATTCTCGGCCTCGTTTTCCTCCCCCTCTTCTTCTTCTCGTCTTTCCATGTAGAGATACTGTAGAGAACTCCCGCTGCTGCCTTTGTTTATCTCGTCCCTTCTCTTCCCCGGTTTGATATATGCAGATATATCAGCTCGAAAGTGCCGCACATTGCCTCCACCATAATGCCAGGATTTTGTCGGCATTTAGCAAGCAATTACAAATGCTTGTCGAGCCGATTGGGACCTTCCAAAGATATACAAGCGCCCCCCATCCGACCGTGATCCCCTGATTGCTGCTGCTTATTTTTCTCCGGTCCTGTCTTTCGCCGCCGAGTTTTCCTCCATCCGGAAACTTGAGGGTTGGAATGAACAGTGGCAGTGGCACTAGTAGCAGTAGTTCGTAGCAGTAGCGAGGCTTGGCTGCGCTGATATAACTCTTTTCTCTGTCTTGTCTTTGCCAGGCTCGCCGCTCATGTTGGCTGCTGCAGCTGCCGCTAGAGGAGACCACCTAGGAATGCAGAGCGCAATGAGCATGCGCGGTCCTTTCACTGCGAACCAGTGGGCCGAGCTAGAACACCAGGCGCTGATTTTCAAGTACATGATGGCTGGTGCCAGCGTGCCCCCCGAGCTGCTCAATCCAATCAGGCGCAGCGTTGCATTGAATAATCTCGCGTCTTCGCATCCGTCGCTAAGAAGTGAGTGCCTGCTGCCTTTCTCCCTTCACTTCACTGCTCGACTGCCTCCTCGCTGTTCTCAGCACCTTGCACCACTGGCAACTCTAAAGATCTCCTTGCTTTCCTGTGCAGTGGGCTGGGGAAACTTCCACCTTGGAATTCCGAACAATCCCGACCCGGAGCCTGGTCGGTGCCGACGAACAGACGGCAAGAAGTGGAGGTGCTCCAGGGAAGTCGTCCCGGACCAAAAGTACTGCGATCGTCATATGCACCGGGGCCGTAACAGGTCCAAGAAGAACGCCGAGAACCAGGCAGCAGCAGCAGCTGCAGCGGCGGCGGCGAATTCCCAGTCGGCGGCAGCTGCTGCCGCAGGTGGAAACACCACCACCCAGTCAGCGACCAACGTCGGTGGTGTCGTCCAAAGCTCGGGCTTGAATCAGATCCACAGCAGCTTGCGGCCACCTCTGGGCATGAACGGACAGAATCATCACCAGCATCCGTCGGTCGGAGCAGCAGCGGCAGCAGCAGCAGCAGCTTCCCCTTTCAACTCGGGCACCCCCACCAAGTCCAACTTCAGTTCCCTCCCTACGGGCATTCCCAGCGGGAACAACTCTGGCAGCTCCCTGCAGTTCCCAATGCAGTCTCTCTCTGGTGCATCTCCTGGAGGGAACAAAGACTACAGGTACTATCAGTTCCTGGTGAGTGCAAGTGCCACTCATGCTCATCAAGCCCCGCCGTCTCTGTTCGCCTGTGACTAAAATCCTGCTCTCTCTGTGTGCTTTTGCTTTCCCTGCTCCAGGTACATGAGTGGAATGAGTAAGCCAGAGCTGGGATTGGGACCTGAGCAGCTGCTATTCTCAGATTCCCCACTTTCTTCCGTGCATCACCAATGGCAGCAAAACTTCCAGAGTAAATTCCCACGACTAAGCAGCAGCAGCAGCAACAACAGCCCCAGTTCACCTCTGTACCCCCAGCACCACCAGCACCAGCACCAGCACCAGCACCAGCAGCAGGAACTTAGATCACTGTCAGGCCAGCAGCATTTTGAAATGCCTGAAGCAAGCCAGATTAACCACCTCTCACAACCTTTACTAGGCCCTGGGTACGGGGGAGGACCTACAGCAGCAGCAGCAGCAGCAGCAGGACTGGAGCATGTTGGGAGGGACTGCGAAGAACAGCCACTCCGCCACTTCTTTGACGACTGGCCCCGTCAGAGGGACCCCTCCACAATCTCCTGGAATGACATAGAAGACGATCAGAAACAGCACCAACACCAAAACCAACAGCGAGCAGCAACACCACCCACGGCAGTAACAGCACCCGGAGCAGGAGGAACCACAACAATCCCAAGAACAACGTCCGCAACACAGCTCTCAATCTCCTTACCAATGTCATCGTCGGACTTCCGCGTCGCCACCTCTCCACGAGGAAAGTTATCGCTCTCCCCGCTCAAGCTCTCCATGTCCAGGAGCGAGTTCGAGGAAGACCAGCTCGGTGGCGATCCAACGAGAATGGGACTCGGTGTTGGCCTCGGCGGTGGAAGCCGGCAGCAGCAGCAGCAGCAGCAGCAAACCTGGATGCAATCTTTAGAAGGTGGTCCACTAGCCGAGGTTCTCCAATCCAGCACACCTCGCGATCACTGCAAGAGCTCACCTGGACTTAACTTACTTGGCGATGGCTGGGAGAGCAGCTCCAGGGAGACGTCCCGGATGCCATCTCCAACCGCGGTGCTCACCAAGACTCCCTTTGGATCGTTCTCCGACAGCAGCAGCAATGCCAGTAGCCCCCGCGCAGTTCATGCAGAGGCGTTGCTCGGAAACGCTGGTTCCAAGCAACTCACCTCGTGAAAGAAAGAAGAATGCGCGGAAGGAATGACCGACCGACCGATCGCCCCTCTCCTGCTTGCTAATCTCTCCTCGATCTCACTGTTGTTTCTTCTTTTGACATGTACCAGTACAAGAAAAACGAAAACATTCATTATAAGCGCTTGTGACAAGAATCTCAATCCCAGACCTGGTGCCATCGCTAAGAATCCCGTGCGCGCCTCCTAATCGGCGATCCGGGCGTGGATCATCCAGCATTCTCGACGAAGCGCTTAAACCCTAAGAAACAACCAAGAACCCTAATTTTCAAAACCAAGGGGGGAAAACTCTTTTTACACTTTATTAAAGGGTGGCACAAAGAGAAAATTACAGAGACTAGAAAGAAACCTATCTACATCGAAAAGATGAAGAAACCCAAATGCCAGTGCTCCACAAAATTGCTGGCTGTGTTTGTCTTGGACGATTTTTCCTCCTCTTTTTTTTTTGTGCGTCTTTTTTCCTTGTGTGTTCTTCGCGACGATGCGAGGCGACCACCCCCAAACTTTTTTCCGCCAAAAGGCTCTTCCATCGTCTTTTTTCGATGCCGAGCCTCCACCCAAAATCATTAGCATCATCCTCCACCCAAGTCCTGTGCCTTATTCTTCGTCCGGGTCGCCTGCTGGAATGATCCTTTTGGAGCTCCTTCCAAAGAGTCGAGTCGTACGGGCTCTAGCTTGAGCACTTCGAGAGAGAAGAGTAGAACGGTTGCGTGTTGCTGCTGGGCGAGCGAGCGAGCGAGCGAGCGATCTTGCCGCTGCTGCTAATTGGCAACCGGAGTGTTGGACGAGGCCTTGAGCTTGGCCAGGCTGAGGAAGAAGTCCGTCAACACCGTCTCGTACGCGGGCATCTTGGCGTAGCCGGGGAAATAGTTGATGTCGATGACGTGGTAGTGGTTCCCGGCCTTGGAGTCCCGGATGAGATCGAAGTTGAAGAGCCGGAGCCCCAAGTTCTCCCTCAATCCCTTGGCCAGCTCTGCCACGAACTTGGTCGGCGGGAGCTCCGCCTGGAGGTAGTCCGACGCCCCGCACTGCTGGGTCGATCCCATGTTGGAGATCTGCGAGAAGCACAGCGCCTCCGACCGGTTGAGCTCGTCCTCGGGCACGTCCGGGAGGGACCTCCGCTTGACACACTTGACGTAGTCGCCCACCACGTACACCTTGAAGATGACGCCACCATGGTTGACGAATTCCTGGAGGACAACCGGCGGCTTGAGCTTGGTGAGACCCTCTTGGTTGAAGATGAGAGACATGGCGTGGGACTTTGCGCTGCCATCGGCCACCAGTGGCTTGGCGATCACCGGGAACTTGAGGCCGCTCATCGCCTTGAGATCGCCCAGGCAATCCGACCTGTCCATCACCGACTGCTTGGGGATCCCAAAGGTCTCCTGCTCGTCGCCCACCTGGAGGTCCGACACCGCCTGGAGCATCGAGATGCGGTTGTGGAGCCGCTCGATCGCGTCCGGCGAGTCGATGATGATCACATCCGGGTGCTTCTTCTCGTATTCCTCCAGCTCCTTGTGCCACTCTTTGCCCGAGAGCTTGTGGAGGATGGCGTCGAAGGGGCCCTGCTCCACCAGTGGCTTGTCGAGATCAATGCACACCAGATCGATCCCGCGGCTCCGTGCATGCTCCACCAGCGACGGCTGCACGAAGCTCTTTTGTTTCTTCTGGGCCAGCGCGTACCCGACTTCGAAGCGATCTTCCCCGGACATTGTGACCTTAACCATGCGAGGCTGCCGAAATTTCCCTGTTCACAAAGAGTGGAGCTTGTGTGAGCGCTAGAGCTAGAATCTTGGAGTTCATCGAAACCTTTGTCAAGAATACGCCCTGGCGGCGTCCAAGACAGGGAAAACACACCTGGAGAGAGCCGGAGTTGTCCAAGCGCCTCGAAGAAGAAAATCGCAGAAAAGCGCCGAAATTTCTTCGCGAAATTCACCACACTCGCCGCGGCGCCAAGGCGAAATCACCCCCAGTCGACAGCGCCATGAGCATCGGCATCGACAATCGCAATCCCTCGCGCTAGACGCACAGTAATCCCTAGTCAAGAACGCTCCTGCTCTAGGGCTTCCCCTTGGCTATGGCGAAATGGCATTGCCAGCTTAGGGTTAGGTCTTGTATCTGGCACTGGCGGTGGACAAACCGACGGCGACGATCGCGCCACGAGTGTGCATGCCGATGACGTGGATTAGCCACAGAGATGACGTGGCAGCTGTTAGGATATACGGGTGGGAATAATGCGTTGGTGCGCTCGTGATAAACGTTTGAAACGCTCAACGACGGCGATGATCGCAACAATACAAAGCTTACATTGAGAGAAATGCCCCACCCATATCGATGCCCGAGAATATGCTAATAATAAGACATCCAAAGAAAGTTGCTAAAAACAATACACTCACGATCGTTTGAGCAGTAGTAACCAAAACTTGTTTGTGAAAAGTTCTTCCTTATTCCTTGAAATCGTCCTTGTCGTCTTTGGGAAGAGCACGATTTCTCCAAAAAACTGCCAGACCGCTTCCTCCCAACTGCGAGAAAAGAAATTTCCAAACGAGAAAACCGTTAGTTCGTGTCAGCTCCAAAGGAACTCCGGTTTTTTCTGTGACTTACAGCCATACAGACGACGCTCACGGCCGATGGCACAGCGACTAGAGGATTACTGAAGTGCTTCTGCGCGAGAAGGAAGCCGAGAGCGGAGCTCTGGAAAGGCAAAGCTGGATGAGCTATGTACAAACTTTTGGATGCAGTGGAAACGACGTACCTGCATTCCACACTCGATGGAAATTGTCCGGGCAGTCATCTCGCCAAAGTTGCAGAGCTTCGAAAGCCAGTAGCCCAGCAGAAACGCGGCGGCGTGGAGGAGTGCCACCGGAAATATGAGCTGCGTGCCTTGGGTGACAAGGACCTCGGACACTTGACCAATCTGAAAGCATTCCAGCCTTTACATCTAGGAAAAAGAAAGAATTAAGTTCTATAAGACTCACGGGACTAGCGCAGAGAAGTGTTGTCAGAATAACCCCCACGAGAGGTGTCACCGTGACTATCTTTTGCGTGAACTTTGGAAAGTACTCGTTCGAAAGAACTGTGTAAACAGCAACAGAATTGATGAGAGGCTTTCGAACAACAAGCTGAAGCGCTTACCTCCAATAATTGTGGGGACCAGGACCACCTGAAATGTGCTCACTGCCAGCCCCTGTATGAATTCTCAATGCCATCAAATCGACACTCGATGATTTCGAAAGAGACTCACCACCGCGTCCACTGGGACAAGCTGACCCGCAAGCACTTTTGTCAGCAATGGAGTCATTAAAATCGCGCCAATAGTAGAGCATCTGCAACGATAGATAAAGTCTTCAAGCCTCTTTGCCAAAAATGAGAAGGATATACATTACGTTGTCATCAACACCGACAAAGCGACGTTGCCCTTAGAAATATACGTTGCCACGTTTGAAGCTTGGCCTCCTGGACAACAAGAAACGAGAATGAGACCTGTTGCCAGTGGTGCGGATAATTTTAAGCTCTGTTATAATCGAAGAGATGCTCAAAGATGTGTCCCAGTAAAACTTAAATAGCTTCATTACCAATGCGATCAGAAATCCCAGTATAGGCTTCACAGCATATTGAGCCAAAAAACCAACACCAACCTGCGTAGAAACAAAAAAACGCGAGGGAAATCAAACTGCAACACAAAGTTTTGCATCATACCGTCCAGGGATTTCTCAGGCATCGGCGGAAGTCATCAAACGTAAGAGTTAATCCCATAGAGAGCATGAGAAATCCCAAGCCTACAGTGAACAAGTCGGTCTGTAGCCAGGTTACCTGGTTATAACACAAAAGATTGTCAAGCACGAGAAATCCAAGCCATTCGCAAGCTTACCGCAGTTGGTTTTACAATGCCAATGACAGTTCCCAGTATAACCTGGGCAGAAACAAATCAGAGAAGAACAAGGTTTGATGCAAGGCGTACCCAGACTGGAAACATGGTTGTCAAGAGTTCCACAACTCTTTCAAACGTAGACAATTCCTTCTCGGGAATCTCTCCAGCACTGGCTGCTGCATGGCATTCCACGGGCCTTTCTCTTCTATATAGCACCAGTTTAAACCAAAGCAACGATCGAGAGAAATTCTAGAATGCTTAGCTTACCTGTGTGCTATCAAAGAAGGAAAATGTGATCGATGCGTCGGCGTGTTCACGAGAGAGAAAGATCCAGCCTTCATCCCTGAGAAAAACAGACAGATCCAGAGTGAGAAAGAGCGAAATATCGAATGCGACGCCCCGCATTCACCAGGAATCCAGCGAAGAACTCACAGAAACAAGAAGGACGAACCTGCGACTGCTCCCTCGCCGGGCTTGGCGATTCCAAATCCCAATCTCGCCTCCGCCGTCGCTGGACGCCACGATCGTCGGTGAATCCCGGCGCTCCCTGCAAATGCCGTGGATCGCAACGCCAGTACCGCCATAGCCAGCGCTCTCCCTTTCTCTCTCTCTCGTCGCGCGACACAGTGGGCGGAATCCCCCAAGGACTTGCTAACGCCTGACCTTTACAAAAATTAACATAACAGAAAAGGCCAGAGCGTGGGCTAACTAGGGCTTTCCAAAATCCCCGTGGTTACAATATAGGCCAAGCATTTCTATGCGATATGGTTGGCTGGCAACAGTGGCCTGGCCCCGCGTCTTCACACACGCACTTTAGCAAGGACACATGGGCATATACTTTGCTTTACCTGGATTTAGCTGGTACCTTCACCCGTACTAAAATATCTCAGGCATAATCTTCAACTGTATCAGAAATAATCATATTCCGTACTATCAAATCACGATTGTGTGTCCAGAATAGCAAAGCGCATCTCCACCGTCGGCCAAACACCATCGGGGCCGTTGAAATATACCCGTTGTGAAGAAGCTAGGTTTTCTATTCGGACTTGGAGCAGCTTGGCGAGAGAGAAGCGATGGTGACTCAAGACGTGGAGTTTCGCGACGAAGACTGTGGTGAGCTCTTGAAGCGATACAAGAGGGGCAAGAAGCTGGGCTCTGGTGGGCAAGGCCAGGTCTTCGCGCTCACCCATCGCGGGTTTGGTCACAAGAGGTATGCGGGGAAGATGTTTCGATTGGGTAGCGAGGCCAAGAGAGAA